CCCTTGGAGCACCAAGTGCCGCACCTGCCATGCAAAAGCCACCGGGAGAGCGGCGGAGACCAAGGGACGCTAGGACGTACATCCGACCCCTTGCAGTGCCGCGCCTGCCACGCAAAAGCCACCGGCAGAGCGGCGGAGACCAAGGGACGCCAGGGAGTACATCCGACCCCTTGCAGAGCACCAAGTGCCGCGCCTGCCACGCAAAAGCCACCGGCAGAGCGGCGGAGGCCAAGGGACGTGAGGGCGTACATCCGACCCCTTGCAGAGCACCAAGTGCCGCGCCTGCCACGCAAAAGCCACCGGCAGAGCGGCGGAGACCAAGGGACGTACATCCGACTCCGGCAGAGCGGCGGAGACCAAGGGACTGCAGGTCGTACATCCGACCCCTTGCAGAGCACCAAGTGCCGCACCTGCCACGCAAAAGCCACCGGCAGAGTGGCGGAGACCAAGGGACGCCAGGGCGTACATCCGACCCCTTGCAGAGCCACGCAAAAGAGTGAGTGAGTGAGTGAGTGAGTGAGTGAGTCAGTGAGTGAGTGAGTGAGTGGGTGGGTGGGTGGGTGAGTGAGTGAGTGAGTGTGTGAGTGTGTGATGTGTGTGTGTGTGCGAGTGATGTGTTGGTGTGTGAGTGAGTGAGTTTTTGTGTGTGTGAGGGGAGGAGCGGGAGGAGCGAAGGAGCGAGCGGATACAGAACTAAAAACAAAAACCCCACACGTCAATGTGGGAAAAAACAATGATATATATATATGATATAATGATATAGTATAAATATAAACATATAATATAGTAGATAATTTAATAAAACAAAGTTAATATAATATAATACTATATAATGACATATACTATAATGTAATATGTATAGATATATATATATATACCAGTACAATATATACATATATGATATGTATAATACACTATATATGATATATACCGTAAGAATTTATACTCCGTATTTATTTATTTATTATTTTATATTTTTACACCTTTATATATATATATACACATTTTGATATATATATTTACACACTCTAATGTATATATATATATATACACTATGATACATACATAAATAAATAAATATATATATATATGTATACACTATAATATTTATATATTTATTATTTATTCACTTATTTATTTATATATGTGTATACACTATGATTTTTATATATATATTTTAGTATATAACAAATATTTTTGTATTTACATATATATATATATACTATAGTAAATATATATATATACAATATATAATATATATATACATATATATATATACAGTATATCATATATACTTTTTTTAAATAAATATATACTATGACTATGATATACATATACATATATATATACCTTTTAATGTATTTTTAGTGTATATATATTTATACTATGATATATATATATATATATATATATCGCTTGTGATTTCTGTTTGCGATTCTTGGCAACTCAACGACCGTGCCACAGGTGCAGTCCAGCCTGGGACAGAGGCGGCAGATGCGACGGTGGGGAAAGTGGAGACATCGTGTGTTTGGACGCTATTGGTATCTTAAGTAAAAATGCTACTGTATATGGGAGTTTCCAAATAGGCTGCCCAAATCATCCAAACCAGTTTAGTATTGAAACCCATGGTTTTGGGTTACCCCATTTTAGATACCTTCCATGTAATTAGACATACAGTATAATGTTGGTTCCAAATGTTTGATTTGTCAGTGGATGCTGACATTGTTGAATGTTCATCCATCAAATCATGAATGGGTTACCTTTGACGTTCACAAAGTGACCTCCCTGCACAAACAAACATGGCTGGTCAGGGAAATCAGCACATGTGATCCCAAGAATCTTGGATGATGTACACAAGAAGTGCTGCCGTATTTTACCTGAAAACATACGTTGGAAAAACATATTTACAGTATATGCACATAGGTAATCAGACGTACATTTTTCATCCCCTCCCCGATGATTAGCTCATGGTTCTCCACCCCTTCCCCCCTCTGATTTTCAAGGCATGCATGTGACATAGGATAACGTCAAGATTGGAATAGTTAAAACTCCATGCTGTCACAGGACAGTCACCCATAATTCTGAACATGAGAATTCCTCAGTCATAGATGATTCAGATTCACCCATAATCATACTATGACTTCTCAGTCCTTGTTCAGATTCACCAATCTTTGAGGGACGTCCCAGGCTCGATGGGCCACGTGTCGGTTTTGCCCTGGCCACCGCTCGAAGCGGAGGCCCAACAATGTCTCGCAGGGGTTCGTAATGATCTCATGGCGAGTTCATTAGTTCGCAGTAATGTTTGCTTCTGATACGGTGATACTTAGCTGATACTTTATGATTTCTGCCCAGATTGAAAGTAAAATGGGCTGTGAACACATGTGTTGCCGTTCTTGGGCAGCGTTTCGTTCGACTCTACGAGGATGTTCTAGACAGGTTTTTTCAGTCCTGAAGTCAATCAATTGTTTGTTTGAATTTCCGCTGAGAGAGGTTGAAAAGCAACACAGTATGAGCAAAGTTATTTTTCATTCAACCAAGGCCGTATGGGTTGGTTGGTTGGTTTGAAGTCCAAAGGACAAATTGGGGGGCTCCAACAGGCAGCAACAGCATCCAATCATGGAATAGCAGGGACCCCAACATGAAGCCTGCAGGACCCTTACCTCAGTAAAAGGCCCAAACAGCTCCATGCCCCCTGCAGCTGTTTGATTTATTCCTTCCAGAATAACCACGTTCGCCGAACTAGTTCCTGAGCAAACAAGGCCACCGGCATGTAGCCAGGATGGCTTGGATGAATATCAAAATCAAGCCCCTGCGGGAAATAAACAAGACAGGGCCTTCAGACATCTACCAAGCCAGCACAGGCGTTCACAATGTGAAATTTCACATTAGAATACCTCTTCTGACATAAGATGCGTTCCTGGACCCTGGCTTTGGACTTCTTGCCGTTTACGTGCCCAAATACAACATAATCCCGTCGGACTTGAATGACAGCTCTTTGGCTGAGCCGGACATTCCACGGCAAATTGAGCCCCAGACTGTTTTAAGTCATGGGGGATCCCCAGTCGTCACCATAGGTTTCAATACCAAGTCTACCCAAAGGTTCGAGTTGGCCGACCAAGGCCGACCCCAAAATCCAAGGGATTGGTACAGTAATTCGAATTGATTTCTTCATTCCCAATCAAAATAATCAAAGCCACGCAGTTGCATACCCTAATATCATCTAAAATCTGGTTTTGGGATGCTTTTGGGGTTTGATTGTAGATCCTCTAGATCCTCCAGAGGATTGCTAGATTGATCATGATTCGTCCCGGGAGGCCCAGGTGTGCCCATTGTGGATTATACAAACATTAATGTTTATATTAATATATATGTATATATATATATATAGAGTACACCGGTGAAATCTAACATAGCGTTAGTTAGCCCTGGCACCAACTCACAAACATAGCATCTGGCTACGTTGTCAACCCTGGGGATTTGGAGAAAATGATCATTTGGGTGATTTCTGCCAACACCTGCTAACATAGCCTCTGTTTCCGTCCTCCCAATATTTGGCATTCCCCAGGAAGTGGGTAAAAGAAATGTACCAGAATAAGCTATAACATAGCTGTCTGGAGACTTGTCGCAGCTTGGAACCACCAAATGGAAAGTGCTATGTTTGCATCAAACTCCACGGAAAACATGTTCCAGAAAACAGGAAACCGAACACATCAATCAATCAATCCAGAATGAAAGTACCCCTGGCTGCTATGTTAGGTTGTCTCTTTTGAGTCTCCAGCCGACCAGATCAAACCAAAACTGTTTTTGGATGCCTTTCTGGGGCTCACCCTTACTGGACCGAAAAAAGCTTCAAAACCAACAATTTTTCATAATAGATTGAACAAGGAAAAAACTCCTGGTCGATGTTGCCAATCTGGCTACTTGCTGCCATGATGATTATGATGTACTATTGGAGGTTTTGGGAACCCTGGGCAAATGCTATGTTAGCAATCCTGTTGCCAAAACTCTGGTTTGGATTGAAAACCATGACTGGCACAACTGTTTTTGGATGTCTTCCTGGGGCTCACCCTTACTGGACCCACAAAAGCTTCAAAACCAACAATTTTTCATAATAGATTGAATAAGGAAAAAACTCCTGGTCGATGTTGCCACTCTGGCTACTTGCTGCCATGATGACTACGATGTGCTATTGGAGGTTTTGGGAACCCTGGGCAAATGCTATGTTAGCAATCCTGTTGCCAAAACTTTGGTTTGGATTGAAAATCATGACTGGCACAACTGCTTTTGGATGCCTTCCTGGGGCTCACCCTTACTAGACCCAAAAAAGCTTCAAAACAAACAATTTCTTCAAAATAGATTGAATAAGGAAAAATCTCCTGGTCGATGTTGCCAATCTGGCTACTTACTTGCTGCCATGATGGTTATGATGTGCTATTGGAGGTTTTGGGAACCCTGGGCAAATGCTATGTTAGCAAACCTGTTGCCAAAACTTTGGTTTGGATTGAAAATCATGACTGGCACAACTGTTTTTGGATGTCTTCCTGGGGCTCACCCTTACTGGAACCAAAAAAGCTTCAAAATATTTTTTGACAAAATAGATTGAATAAGGAAAAAACTCCTGGTCGATGTTGCCAATCTGGCTACTTGCTGCCATGATGATTATGATGTACTATTGGAGGTTTTGGGAACCCTGGGCAAATGCTATGTTAGCAATCCTGTTGCCAAAATCTGGTTTGGATTGACAATCGTGACTGGCACAACTGTTTTTGGATGCCTTCCTGGGGCTCACCCTTACTGGACCCAAAAAAGCTTCAAAACCTACAATTTTTCAAAATAGATTGAATAAGGAGAAAACTCCTGGTCGATGTTGCCAATCTGGCTACTTGCTGCCATGATGGTTATGATGTGCTATTGGAGGTTTTGGGAACCCTGGGCAAATGCTATGTTAGCAATCCTGTTGCCAAAACTTTGGAAATTAATACTGGCACAACTGTTTTTGGATGTCTTCCTGGGGCTCACCCTTACTGGACCCACAAAAGCTTCAAAACCAACAATTTTTCATAATAGATTGAATAAGGAAAAAACTCCTGGTCGATGTTGCCAATCTGGCTACTTGCTGCCATGATGATTATGATGAACTATTGGAGGTTTTGGGAACCCTGAGCAAATGCTATGTTAGTAATCCTGTTGCCAAAACTCTGGTGTGGATTGAAAATCATGACTGGCACAACTGTTTTTGGATGCCTTCCTGGGGCTCACCCATTACTGGATCCACAAAAGCTTCAAAACAACAACAATTTTTTCAAAATAGATTGAATAAGGAAAAAACTCCTGGTCGATGTTGCCAATCCGGCTACTTGCTGCCATGATGATTACGATGTGCTATTGGAGGTTTTGGGAACCCTGGGCAAATGCTATGTTAGCAAACCTGTTGCCAAAACTTTGGTTTGGATTGAAATTCATGACTGGCACAACTGTTTTTGGATGTCTTCCTGGGGCTCACCCTTACTGGACCCAAAAAAGCTTCAAAACGAACAATTTTACATATATAATAGATTGAATAAGGAAAAGACTCCTGGTCGATGTTGCCACTCCGGCTTCTTGCTGCCATGATGATTATGATGTGCTATTGGATGTTCTGGGAACCCTGGGCAAATGCTATGTTAGCAATCCTGTTGCCAAAACTTTGGAAATTATGACTGGCACGCCTGTTTTTGGATGCCTTCCTGGGGCTCACCCTTACTAGACCCAAAAAAGCTTCAAAATCAACACTTTTACATAATAGATTGAATAAGGAAAAAACTCCTGGTCGATGTTGCCAATCCGGCTGCTTGCTGCCATGATGATGAAGATGATGATGATGATGACGATGATGATGATGATGATGATGTGGTTGGTAATTGGAAGTTTTGGGAACCCTGGGCAAATGCTATGTTAGAAATCCTGTTGCCAAAACTTTGGTTTGGATTGAAAATCATGACTGGCACGACTGTTTTTGGATGTCTTCCTGGGGCTCACCCTTACTGGACCCACAAAAGCTTCAAAACAAACATTTTTTCAGAATAGATTGAATAAGGAAAAAACTCCTGGTCGATGTTGCCACTCTGGCTACTTGCTGCCATGATGATTATGATGTGCTATTGGAGGTTTTGGGAACCCTGGGCAAATGCTATGTTAGCAATCCTGTTGCCAAGACTCTAGTTTGGATTGAAAATCATGACTGGCACAACTGTTTTTGGATGTGTTCCTGGGGCTCACCCTTACTCGACCCAAAAAAGCTTCAAAACGAACAATTTTACATAATAGATTGAATAAGGAAAAAACTCCTGGTCGATGTTGCCAATCTAGCTACTTGCTGCCAAGATGATTACGATGTGCTATTGGATGTTCTGGAACCCTGGGCAAATGCTATGTCAGCAATCCTGTTGCCAAAACTTTGGTTTGGATTGAAAATCATGACTGGGCACAACTGTTTTTGGATGCCTTCCTGGGGCTCACCCTTACTAGACCCAAAAAAGCTTCAAAACAAACAATTTTACATAATCGATTGAATAAGGAAAAAATCCTGGTCGATGTTGCCACTCTGGCTACTTGCTGCCATGATGATTATGATGAACTATTGGAGGTTTTGGGAACCCTGGGCAAATGCTATGTTAGCAACCCTGTTGCCAAAACTCTAGTTTGGATTGAATATCATGACTGGCACAACTGTTTCTGGATGTCTTCCTGGGGCTCACCCTTACTGGACCCAAAAAAGCTTCAAAATCAAGAATTTTACATAATAGATTCAGGAAAAATCTCTTGGTCGATGTTGCCAATCCAGCTACTTGCTGCCATGATGATTACGATGTGCTATTGGAGGTTTTGGGAACGCTGGGCAAATGCTATGTTAGCAACCCTGTTGCCAAAACTCTGGTTTGGATTGAAAATCATGACTGGCACAACTGTTTTTGGATGTCTTCCTGGGGCTCACCCTTACTAGACCCAAAAAGCTTCAAAATCAACAATATTAGAAAATAGATTGAATAATGGAAAAACTCTTGGTCGATGCCAATCTGGCTACTTGCTGCCATGATGATTATGATGTACTATTGGAGGTTTTGGGAACCCTGGGCAAATGCTATGTTAGCAATCCTGTTGCCAAAACTCTGGTTTGGATTGAAAATCATGACTGGGCACAACTGTTTTTTGGATGTCTTCCTGGGGCTCACCCTTGCTGGACCCAAAAAAGCTTCAAAATCAACAATTTTTTCAAAATAGATTGAATAAGAAAAAACTCCTGGTCGATGTTGCCAATCCGGCTACTTGCTGCCATGATGATTATGATGTACTATTGGAGGTTTTGGGAACCCTGGGCAAATGCTATGTTAGTAGTCCTGTTGCCAAAACTTTGGAAATCATGACTGGCGCAACTGTTTTTGGATGTCTTCCTGGGGCTCATCCTTACTCGACCCAAAAAAGCTTCAAAACGAACAATTTTACATAATAGATTGAAGAAGGAAAAAACTCCTGGTCGATGTTGCCAATCTGGCTACTTGCTGCCATGATGATGATGATGATGATGATGAACTATTGGAGGTTTTGGGAACCCTGAGCAAATGCTATGTTAGTAATCCTGTTGCCAAAACTCTGGTTTTGATTGAAAATCATGACTGGCACGACTGTTTTTGGATGTCTTCCTGGGGCTCAGCCTTACTGGACCCAAAAAAGCTTCAAAACGAACAATTTTACATAATAGTTTGAATAAGGAAAAAACTCCTGGTCGAAGTTGCCACTCTGGCTACTTGCTGCCATGATGATTATGATGTGCTACTGGATGTTTTGGGAACCCTGGGCAAATGCTATGTTAGTAATCCTGTTGCCAAAACTTTGGAAATTATGAATGGCACAACTGTTTTTGGATGTCTTCCTGGGGCTCACCCTTACTGGACCCAAAAAAGCTTCAAAATCAACAATTTTACATCATAGATTGAATAAGAAAAAACTCCTGGTCGATGTTGCCACTCTGGCTACTTGCTGCCATGATGATTATGATGTACTATTGGAGGTTTTGGGAACCCTGCGCAAATGCTATGTTAGTAGTCTCCTTGGTCTAACAACTCTGGGATGGAGACTACTAACATAGCATTTGCGCAGGGTTCCCAAAACCTCCAATAGTACATCATAATCATCATAGCAGCAAGTAGCCAGATTGGCAACATCGGTCGCTTATTCAATCTATTGTGTAAAATTGTTGATTTTGAAGCTTTTTTGGGCCCAGTAAGGGTGAGCCCCACGAAGACATCCAGAAACAGTTGTGCCAGTCATGATTTTCAATCGAAAACCAAAGTTTTGGCGACAGGGCTGCTACTACTACTACTACTACTCCTACTCCTACTGCTACTGCTACTGCTACTGCTACTGCTGCTGCTACTGCTACTGCTACTGCTGCTACTACTACTACTTCACACGCGCCAAGTTAGCACCAAAATGTCCATGTCACACCATGTGTTCCCAACGCCAAGTTAGTTGAATCTCAGCCCCAAAACCCAAACACTAACATAGCGAAAAAAAACAACAGGTAAGATTTCAGGAGAGTATATATATATATATATACATCCCCACTGTATCCACTATGCATTCCAAAAAAATCGGCTTCAAGATGATGTTCATTACTGTTTGACTTGATACATCATTATTTGGACTGGCTTCGCAATGAACAAAAACAACATAACATAAAGAATTAAAAACACATTGCTTTTGCATTTCCTCCACCTAACCTAGACCCTGCCATGAGTGTGGGGTCGGAAGGCAACAAGTTCGAACTTGGGATGGGTGTTTCTCAGGGTCTATGCTTTGACGATGCAGTAACTTGGCAGTAGCCGCCAAACAAATAGACTCAAATCGACAAATAAAAACCCGTTCTTCACCCCATACTATTTGTCAAAATGTGCTTTTGTTCACTTTTTTTCCCGCACCTGCTAGGTGATGGTCTTTAGATTTGAACCTAACTTCCCTGGGTCCCGACCCGAAGTCTATTATTGCCAGGTAGAATGTCCCATAAAATCTAGGGGGTCCATAGATGGGGGATCCCCCAAATGGTTAGTTCAAAAAGGATAAAGTACGATTAACATGGATTATTTTAGGAAACCTCCATGTCAGGTAGACTGTTAGATAGAATATCAGAACAACATGTCAGATATAAGTTCAACTATATAAAATGTAAGATAGAATGCCAGTTGAAATGCCAACACGTATGTCAGACAGGAATGGCGGATAGGATGCCAGATAAAATGTCAGAATGTCAGAATATATGTCAGATAGAATGTTAAATAGAATTAAATAGAATGCGAGGTAGTCTGTCAGATCGAATGTCAGAGAAGATGTCAGATAGAATGTAAGGATATATGAATATATAGATATAGAATGATATAGATATATCCGGATATAGGGTGGGGATCACACGAAGTAGAATACTGTCATCACACGAAGTAGGGGCGGTGAAATCTCTGGTCTGGATCTTTGATGAGAGGTGAGCGTCACCAGCGTTTGAAAAGCGACAAAAACACGAATTCTTGGGACCGATATTTGGCACTTCCAATCAAATGCATAATCAAAAGGCATTCCTACAACGATTATTTCCTGATTTTTAGCCTGAACCAAATCTATGTAGCCTTGTCCACCCCACACTGAACTATATTTCCAACACAAAGTAGCATCGACATATCCAAGATTAAGACTAGCTTACTGGAAAGGAGAACCCTCCAGTGCAGCAACAATTCTTGTGAAAGAACGTGATATCCTGGAAAAATGCATTCTTCAGTAGAGGTGGCAGTCCTGCTGGAAGAAGGTAGAATCATTTCGAAAGAAAGTGTATACAGCAATGCCTGTATAAAAGATCACTCCGTTTTAAGCAGCGCTGTTCATTGAATTTTCAGTTCAAAGCCAAGAATTTGCTGTCTACAGGTCTAACAATGTATATCGGCTAGTCCGACATACAAATTCCATTTCATGTCGGACTCTCTGGCTGGCACTCTGTTGCGAAACCATCGGGGATTCAATTCCAGGGATGAACCTCACCTATCCAAATGCTAGAAAACAAAACAAAATATACACTGGGAGACATTCAGGGTGATTACATAGTCCCAAAATACTCAAAAATCGTTTCTGTTTTTTTGTTTTCTGACATTTGGATAGGTGAGGTACATCTCCAGATGGAGATGGAGACCAAGTGCTAAATTTGGCAGTTTCACACACCCAAAAACCCAACGCTCACAGCATTCTTTTCTGTTTTTTGGTTTTCACTTTTGGCCCTTGACCAGCTATAAGTCACTAAGTCACCGCATTTAAAGAATGACAACCCCATTTATAACCATTGACAACTACTCCAAAGGTCTTTAACTGTATCCCATCCCATTGTGCTGGTTGCTTACTGTAGTAAATATTTCCATTTTGTGTTTTATGGGTTCAAATTTCTAATAATCAATGTCACCATTAAACAATGCAGTAAAATCTCTACAATAACCGAATAACCACAACAAATTTCATGGTAAATCTTTATTCTATCAAACATAGCACGTGATTTTTAACAATGATAAGCCATCAACCATTGATAGCTGGTAAAGGCGGTAAAGGTCTTTAACTGTAAACCAGCAAGCATCGAAACACGCCGCAAATGCGACCGCCAGGCTCCAGCGGGTCCGGGTCCGGGTCCAGCCACGTGGCTTGGGGCCTTGGCCTTGGCCTTGGTCTCGCTGGACTTGCTGGAACAGCGAGGTGAGAAATGCCACCGGTGATCCTGGGGGACGGGCCATGTTTATACGGAGGTGTCGTCATGGAGGTACCCCTTTATCGCTGGATGGTTTATAGTGGAAAAGCCGAAAATAAAATAGATGATAACTAGGGGTACCCCCATTTCAGGAAACCTCCGTATATAGAAAATTCATATTTGAACACAAGTTATGCTCAAAATCATGGACTGACAAAACTCCGCGTTTTTTTTGTGATACTCATGCAACCTAATCCAGAAAATCTCAAATTACTTTACTTCGAGTTATCCCCACCATGACATCTATACGTTTTGTTCCTGGCAAATCTTCTGGCATTCTGTCTGACATATCTTCTGGCATTTTATCTGGCATTCTATCTGGCATATCTTCTGGCATTCCACCTGGCATATCTTCTGCAATATGTTCTGGCATATCTTCCGGCACTCTATCTGGCATATCTTCTGGCATATCTTCTGACATTCTATCTGGCATTCTATCTGGCAAATCTTCTGGCATATGTTCTGGCAAACATTCTGGCACTTTATCTGGCATACCATTCCTCTGACATCTATCTGCATACGCTTCTGGCCATTCTATCTGGCTATCTTCGGCATTTTTCTGCATATCTTCCTGGATTCTAATCTGGCATATCTTCTGGCATTCTACCTGGCATATCTTCTGGCATATGTTCTGGCACTCTATCTGGCATATCTTCTGGCATATCTTCTGACATTCTATCTGGCATTCTATCTGGCAAATCTTCTGGCGTCCTATCTGGCAAACATTCTGGCACTTTATCTGGCATACCTTCTGGCATTCTATCTGACATTCTATCTGGCATACCTTCTGGCATTCTATCTGGCATAGCTTCTGGCATTCTATCTGGCAAACATTCTGGCACTTTATCTGGCATTCTTTCTGGCATTCTATCTGGCGTTCTATCTGGCATATCTTCTGGCATTCTATCTGGCCGTTGAGGGCCAGCGGTGCTCACTGAGCTCGGAGGGTCCCAGGTTGAGGCGGTGCTCACTGAGCTCGGAGGGTCCCAGGTTGAGGTCCAGCGGTGCTCACTGAGCATGATAAAGCTGATTAATTGTATTTGTTTGCGATTAGCATCAAACATATGAGCAAGGGTCAAAAGATGGTATGTAGAGATGTTGTATTCGGCCGCCGTCACTTCTAAACATGTGTGATTTCCTGTGGGGAGCGATAGGGGACCTTAAAGAGCAGCTATACCCCCTTAAGTAATGCAAATGTGTTGTCATGGCCACATGCGTGCACTTTCCAGAGGTTTTGGAGCAGACACTCTCCAAGACATACTCTCTCTCTCTCTCTCTTTCTATCTTTCTATCTCTCTCTTTCCCTCCCTCCCTCCCTCCCTCTCTCTCGCTCTCCCTCTCTTTCTCCCTTTCTCTCTCTTGCTCTCCTTTTCTCGCTCTCCCTCTCCTTTTCCCTCTCCCTCTCTCTCTCCTTCTCTCCTCTCTCATGCACACGCACGCACGCACGCACGCACCTGCACATATGGGCGCACGCGTACAAATGCGTACATCTTTCTTCTTCCCATGTCTGCCTTCAGCGCGCAGACAAGGGAAAGCTGCAAGAAGCAGATCAGGCGATGGGTAAAGACTAGAATGCCTCCGGCAAAAAAGTTTTTGGGAACGATGCCTGACGCGATGCAGTTCGATACCTGGAGCGATACCCCAAATCAGCAGAAGCACACAGACCCAAAGACTTGGAGAGAAGACGGCAGCTGCTTCCGGACTTTGAAGAGCATGGCAGAAAGCATCCAAAACGGCTGCGCAAAAGCAGAGCAGCGGCGTGTGCTCGCATGTGCGTCCTTCAAGCCAAGCGGCGGGCCTCATATTATTTAGTTCCAGCTTCTCTACCAGCAGTGGCGAAGCTTGAGTGAGCAATTTCCGTTGTAAGGGGGGTTCAAAATGGTTTCGCTAGATAATTTATGCATCTCGCTGACAGAATTTGACGGAGAATTGTGGAGGCCTGCTTGAACATGTATGTCATGCTTCATCATATGTCATTTAGCAAAAAGTGAGTTTCCATTGTGTGAAGCGATAGGGGGCCTTGAGGAGCGATATGCCCTAAATTGATGACAATGGAACCAATACCATGTTTAGGCCGTCGCACATATGATGTTCGCAGTGAAGGATTTTCAACCCTGCTTGCAAATAGACATGTACATGTAGATATTTACATTCATTGGAATGTTGCATGTATTTAAATAGGTCGAACCACCCACTTGACCTGCATTTGTAAAGGTGACAAATTGGCCCACATATCTCAATGTAGAGGAACGCTACTTTTTGAATGTTTATGTGTTTTTACTATTTTTACACGACGGACATCCTATGACTATGAGGTGGTTTATAACCGGCATATGGATGTGTCTGAAGATGGAGTATACCCCCATTTTTCCGAAAAAAAACATATCCAAGTTGTAGGCGTGAAACAGTTCAGTTATTGACCAACTTGTGCGTGCAGGGGCCGTCGACAGAACACGGCTATGGCTGCCAAGGCGAGGAAATCGTGAGTCGGCTAGTGATCTCGGTGGGTGGCTAGTGATGTTGCACTGGGTTCAATGAGGATGATATATATATATATGTATATATATGTATGCATGTAAATGTCATTGATAATAGGTGCACAGACACAAATATAATTCGAGACAATATGAGAACGCCGCCCTCAAACAACCAGGAGCTTTGGAGATGGAGGGTGAACTGTGCACTGCTCGACTTGAGCATTGACTCACTGAATAGACTTCTTCGGATGGAAGTGGGTTTGGTTGACTCTTGGAAAAAATGATTCCAACATTTTGCAAGGTGGGGCCCCCATGTATAAGTTGGGTTCTGTTTCCGGAAAAACAATATTATCTGGAAACTATAAAACCTGTAAACTCGTGATATAATGCCCTGCAAAATCTTCAACTTCGAAATGGGTGTTTCTTAGCATGGGGGATCCCCAAAACCATGGGTTTCAATATTTAAGTTGTCTAATTTGGAAGATTGGGGGTACCCCCAGTTTAGGAAACTTCCATATATGTTTATATGTATATTATGTATATTTATATATGTATAGATATTTGTTTATGGGGAAACCTTCAATTAGAGCATTTTTGGTTGGTTTGAAAACATCGGAAAACGATCCCAATCAACTTCCAACAGCTCCACCAACCTCGAGCGTGCCAGAAGAAGAAGGCCAAGGGCGTTGCCAATGCCGCCGCCAAAGCAGCAGCCCTGAAGGCAGGAATATTTGGAGAATTGGGCTGATGGATACTACGGTTAATGATGGTGAGTGGTTTATGATTCATACATATTCATACTATATATATATGAAATAACCCCCAATACATGGGTTAGTATGGGCTAATCGATTTATACACAAAGTACCATGAACGTACCCAACAATGGTGGTTTTATCATGCTGTGCCGTCAAGACATAGGATCAATAGGTGTAGCCTTCGGACATCACCAGCACCGCCTTTTTTTAGCGACCCTGGATATGCAGCAAACGGAAGCATCATTTCACATACCAGAAACACTGTTTGTGTTGGTTTGGGGTTGATATCATATAATATCATTACGTATATATTTGTATCATTAATTATATATTGTTTTCATATATATATATATGTGGTATACGTATATTGACCAACCACAAGTGGGGATTTACATGGATTTACCCCTATGTAAGAAATCAATATCATTCATCACGCGGAGATTTTCACCCTGAAGGTGCTAGTTGGAGATTGATGATTTTTAATATAAAGATAAAGAAATATATGGATATATTAAATCATCCAAGGTGGTGGGTCTGGATGAACAATTTTGCGACCTCACTCATTGGCTGCCGTAATCATAAACACGAGAAAGTGTTCTTGTTTTGCAGGAAAAACAACTGCTAATCCACAAAAATGGATTCACATCGACATTTTAAGTGGGATTTTGTGTCCAAGAAATCAATCACGCGTGAAACATACTAGTCTGACCGGCAGCCCAGTTTAAAGTCTATTTATTTTGTTGGCCATAAATTTATTGAAATCAAACATGGGTAGCTGGGAATCCCTGCGCGAGGTTTTACCGACTCGAGAAAAGGGATGGGCACCGTTGCCATGTTTGAATATTGGAGGGTAAAAAACATATGGTTATGGAAGGGTTAATTCCGAGTAAGATTTGATTATTGGATGATATTTTAAGCGATGTTTGATTATTGATTGACTGATTGATATAATTTCAATTCTGGAAGAGCAAACGAGTAAAAACCAAGGTCTCCGAGACTTGCAAAGAGCAAGCCGGTCGCTCACGACTCACAAAAAGTTCTTTGCTAGTTGGTGGTGTCATCAACAATGTGTAACCATGTTTAGCTGATAGCACAAGGTCTGCGGTATTATTTTTTTAATTATATATGTTTAATTTAATATTACACAATATTATCTTCCATTGTATGATGATATGCCTATATAGCTTGATGAATATCGGGGTGGTTTCAGGTGAAAACTCAGAGAATTTCAGCATCCGCAGAAAGGCACTGTCTTTTGCAAAGCATATTTGAAGTCTCGGAAACAGAACATATCATGCAGACTCTTTGGACTTAGCCCTTGGTAAACTGATATGGTTTGCTGGACTCTTTTCCCCATGCAGTTCAATGATTCTTCCCATATATAGATGCCCCAAATGGCAGGATTTCCGAGCTTGCCGTGCTGCTGGAAGGCCTTACAAGCGTTGGATCAGGATACTGAAAAAAAGCAGGAAGAAGCGCAGGTGCCGGCGCAAGATAGTTGCGAAGTTTATGGTGCATATGTAAATATATATATATATACATACATATGTACACATGTTATATACATTTAGTGAGTGTATATGTATATATATATATATACATATTGATGAAGTATTCGCTCCTACATACTCCACGCTGTTTGTGGTTGAATAACCGTGATAGACAGATAGCATTTTCCGGCTATATCTTGCGAGATAGTTTTATTCCCAACAGTCATACACCAACAACACCCAAATGTCCACACATGGCAAGTTAAGTCGTGATATCACATCGACCTTGGAAAAGAGCTGTTCCAAGGACCACCATGTTCCTGGATGGAATCGTGCCACTTGCATGGTGTTCCATGCATGGTATGTGTTTTTTTCCAATAATAGTCAAGTTGTTTATCATTTTATATACATCAAAAGCATGCAATATGATAATGTATAATTAATATAGTTTGGTGGTGATTGATTGATGAATTACTAATCAACTGTTAATAGATGTCAATCGACCACTTCATTTCGATCCGTTTTGACTATTGCTGTCTGAAAGTTGCAGAATGTTGCAGATACCTCAACATGTCCTTTTTTTACGAGTGGAAACCAGGCAGCTGACTTAGATATTCATAGAATCACTTCGGTATCCTAAGTTGTTTTTCCCCCCATGGATTTCTTGTTGAATATAGCTAGATATGGTATTTTCTGCTAGTTATTTAAGTAGCTTATGGAATCATCATCCAAGTTTAATGAAGAACACTGGGGTATGTCTCCGGTAAATCTGGCTGGAACATCCAGGAACTATCTCGATGTTGGTTTTTAATCCCCATGAAGATCCATCAACTATAGATACAACCCATGTAAACCCATGTAAGCTCCATATAATTATATAAATTATAATATATATATATATGTATATATACATACACCATCCATTAACTATACATATATTTGATATAGATTCACCATAGTTTAGAAACCGCCGTAGCTTTGATCTATGTACAATCAAACCCAGCGTCCCCATCTGATCCGGATCAGAAAAAGAAGAGAAACGCACGAAATGGAGCAGAGGCGACGGGTTTTAAAAACGATGGGATATGATGGGATATAAGAATAGTTATTGGATCCGTGCCCTCTGCTAAACTAACAGTTTGCAAACCTGAAAATCATCATTTGTAATAGATAAATCAACGAACTAAATGACCATGTTCAATAGCAATGTTAGATTACCAGAGGGTAAGCAACAACGATATCATGGTGATTTGGCCATATGCAGAAATTATCTCAGTTGTGAGTTTAAAACTGTCCTGTTGATTGATGATCATATATGGGTTTTTATGGGTTTATCTACGAAAATGGGCATATCATTCAGAAATGATACGTCGGATTTGGTATTTTATGGGGTTGTTCATTTTTTTTGTAGATCACCTAGGTGGTGAATTATGCATCGTAGCGACGATTTGTCTTCGGCCCTGTAATTTTAACCGGGATATATCTGCTGGTTGGTGGTTTGGAACATTATTTTTTTGTTCCATTAATATTGGGAATGTCATCATCCCAACTGACGAACTCATATTTTTCGGAGGGGTAGGTATACTACCAACCAGTCTGGTTCATCAAGTATCATGAACTACCCTCTGGTAAACTAACATAACTATGGAAAACCACCATTTTTAATGGATAAATCCACTATAAATCACCATTTTCAATAGTTTTTGGTATGTTTACCAGGCCGGGTAACCCAGCCATGGGAAATCCCGTTCTCTTCCAGCCACTGCTCATTTTTTGGATGGTGGGAAAGCTAGCGAGCGACCCAGAGGATTGGTAATGAACATGACCATGAATCTGGCTATCAAGATCTCATTGGCCGAGATTCGTGAGTTTGATGTGAGTATTGTGACTTTGGCTGAATTAAATCCAGATTTTCTGAATAGAATATAGTAGAATAATCTTCAGGAAACACCCAGTAGAACCAGTGGAGATCACAGCCTCGCATGCCCGTCTTCGCAGGCGCGGCAAGCAGGGCAAGCAGGGCAAGCAGCGCCTGTGGAAGTTTCGGAAATTCAGGTGCCGGCGAAGCGGAACAGCGCCAGGTAAACATGGCATATCAAGCAGTTATGGCCCGAAATACCAGTTATAAGTACGTATAACCCCATTTATAGAATGTATGATCCAGTTATAACTAATAAATGGCCATAACTGTGTACAACATGCTACTGATTTTGAACGAATTCGGATGAATGAAAAAACGACAGCCACAAACTGCTGACTTGACATTCCAAATGTCACATCAAAGAAATAAACGCTTTGCAGGCGTCGCGAAAGTGCCTGTGATTTTTTTCGAGTTCATGAGTCCAGGTATACTCGACAATTCGTCGCTGAATGAGTTTCACATGATGCTATCCGATAAACATATATGGAAAAGAAGTCAATACAACAAGCATGGTTGACGCAGATTGACTCATATGTGATTGGATCAGTAGCAACAAACTTATACCCAATGAGTTCATTCACCAAGCGACCCGACTCTCAGCAGGACAACCCCAGTTTGTGGACATATTACTAGTGCTACAAGGGTTATGAGCCATGTATTTCCATCATTGACATCACCAAGCGACAAACCTCAGTTGGTTCCTTTTGATTTTGGAGGAAACGATGGGCAAATCTTGACGCAACCAGGTGTATGCGTTAAATTTGAAGCCCATTCGTTCCCTTTTTTTTGACTTGTGAAAGGATGAGTTTTTCGATGTGGCATCGACTTTATTTTCGCTACGTGGGTGAATTCCTCATGAAACTATTAGCTGCATCATGTTTGATAATCCCAAGCATTCATCGCATCATCTCCTGGTGAAGCCCGAAACACCTGGCCGATTCAAAAAAAGCGCACTGGAAGCCATGGCCCATGGATGATTTACCATGACTTGACTTAACTATTGAAATTTCGTGTTTTTTTTCCATATGTTACTTTACTTGAGGGTAAAGTCAACTAAACATATATAGCCAGCCTGAGTTGTGGGTTGAGAGGCACCACCTGAGAAAGTCGAGGAGGAAACAGCTCCCAAAGAAGAGAAAGAAGTGGAAGAAAAGGCCCATCTCAAAGTTGCCAGTTTATCCCCTCTTCAGTGATGGATGGCCAGTGTGCTTTGTTGTGAAGTGAACAAATGAATATCATACATATATATGTATACATATGTATATTAGTATATTATGTGTATATATATGTATATATATATATATGTATATATATATATATATATATATGTGTATATATATATATACGTATATATATATATATATATATTTTTTTTTGCTCGGCCTTTTAGGTCTAGCCTGTGGCGCTCATGCTAAAACCAGACGACCTCCTTAGATCGGCTGGTAATCTGGCAGGATCTTTCGGTCGCGATCCACGCAGGCCGAGATCGCTGCCAGCTGCTGTGCAAGTACTGGCGCTTCCGCGGAACTGTCGGAAGGCTGGTACTGTGTGAAGCGGGCTTCAATTTGAAGCCCAAAAGCTTCAGCGAAACAAAAATTCATGCCAGCCGGGTATTCCTTGGCTGCTGAAGTCTTGAAGCTTCCATCGGCGTCACGTCCGATCAATGGCATCGTCGGCTTGACCAGGTGATGTTGTTCATGAGCCGCGAAAGTACGCGGGATGGCAGCATTGGCAAAAAGCAGCGTGGTCGGCTTGACGCCTTTGGCGCCGTGTTTCCATTGCTGAAACGTATATTGCCGAAACGGCATTCCAGGGCCGCATAGAAGCTTGAGAAGAGCGGTTCGCCAAATCGACGGGCGTTCGATCTGAAAGGGCGGCGCAGGGTGTTCCAGAGCAACAGCACCGCCCCCGCATGCCACGCAGATGCATAGATGAAGACCTTTGAGAAGGAGGTTATTGCCGACCTGGATTTGAAGCAACTCTCTCAGGCTGAGCTGCATCAACCCCCAGCACGAATCAGGTGCTCCTCTCAATGGCCTCGGCCCCTTCATTGGCATGCCTTTGTCATCAAGCTGTTCTTCGAACCGGGCGCCACTCCATGTTTCACACGGGGGCCCCAGCAAAAGGGCCAGTAGTTGTCCAGCTCGGGCAGTCATGAGCAAAAATTGCCAGAGGTGCGCATCATGGATGTTCATCGAATCATCAATGGCTGTGTCTATGGAGATCACCAGCACTGATTGCGAGAACCGCTGCAAGCCTTTGTCCAGGAACTTCTGCATGTAGTAGTGAAAATCTGCTTCTCGGCGCCTGCCGGAATAAAGATGCACCACATAGAAGGGTCCTGTGCTCATTTGTCGCATGACTTTCGGTGTCTGCAGGATGACCCAATGTCGCCGTTCTGCTTCTTCACCCGGCATGGCCACATAGCGGGAGGAGATTGGATGACTCCTCGAATGCGGAGTGGAACGCTGTTGTTGTGCTCGATTGGGTTTGGGTTCTCCTTGTTCAAGTCGGTCCCAGCACTGTTGAAGGAATCGCTTTCGCGTGCGCAGGTGCCAAATGTGGATGTCATCCAGCATAGACATGTGGCTGCGTTCCAATACTTCGTAGAGCTCGAGGTCAATGCTCGAGTGCAAGTCTTGGAAGTCAGTCTCAATCCACGCGATAAAAATCCTCGCAGCCTGGAATTCTGGAATACCGAAGTGGAAAAGGAGGTTGAAGAAATCATTATGGAAGGCTTCTTCCGTGGGGGTGTGAGTCCACTGCTGTAAACATTCTGCGAACTGCTCAAAGCATGTGCGGACCAGCGGTGTGGTTGGATCAGGCTCCCACCATGCAAAATCAGGGTCACCTTCAGCTTGCAAAGAAATGAGTGCTTGTCGAATCCTTTGGCGCTCACGGTGGTGTGATGTGGGCCGCAAAGGTCCTGCATGTCTACGAACAGCAGGTAGGCGGCAAACACCAACAAGATGTTCAGGCAAGTGAATGGTGACTGGTTCGTCAGGTCTTTTGACTTGATAGATTCGGTCCCAGCACATGTTCGGCCGATAACGCAAATGTTGTGTCACCCGGAAGGTGGTGTGAAAGTCCTTGAGACAGCCACTGCAAATCGTGGATTGGACGTAGTAGCGCTCTTCAGCAATCACACCATGAACACGGAATTCATGAAGTGCACACTGATGATGGGTCGCAAATCCAGCATGACAATGTGGACATGTGTAGGGCTTGTGGTCGCATTCATCTGGGATATCACTCAAAAGTTGCATGCCAGCTGATCGCAGCTCATCCAAAATGGCGGCATGTTGAGTGCCTGTTTCCCAAGCGATCTGCTCTTGCACAAGGTGCTTGGCACAAGCTCTGCGGATCCAGGCTTTCCAGGGTCGGCAGTTGCGTAGTGCTTCCCATACTTCAACCCAAGAAGGTCTATCATGAGGTAAGTCAAAGGGTAGCTGCCGAATATGGCTGAGCCAGACAAGGTCTTCCTGCATCTCAAAAAGCCAACCTCGCCCAGTTTGCAATTCGCGGTAGAGCAAGCTTTTGTGAAAGACCGTGCCAAACTGTGCAATGTGTTGCAGGAAGGTCAACTTGTGACGAGCCCAGAACTGTCGGAATGTTGGGAGCCGTAGGGCTTGCCGAAAGGACTCATCAGTCACATGATCTGGTTTCCAGAAGCCAACGTCATGAATCTGCCTATAATAGGCCATGAGCGTGGCTTCAAGCTTCTTCACCAGGGCATTGGGGACGTCAGTCCAAATAGCGCATCCATACAGCAACCTGGATAGAATGAGACTGTGGAACAGCTGCATTCTGGCCGCGACTGGGAGTCGTTTGTTGAGAAAGAGCGGCTTTTTCATCTCTTCGAATGCTTGTCGAGCTGAGCCAATTCGAGCTCTGATCTCCTTGCTCACATCAACATTCATGGAGTATTGAGCTCCTAGGTGTTTGTAGGAGGGTACGACCCGAAGAGTCAGGATGTGGCTGGCCGTGTCGACGACGATGACCGGTTGCCTCTCTGTGTCAAAGATCTGCAGTCTCAGTGCATCCGATCCCGGTCCTCTAAAACAAAGGACTGCTTCCGTTTTCCCTTTGTCTAGGTTCAGTGTGAGTCCTCTTGCTCGAAACAGCTCGTGGACTATTGCTGTGACCTGTCGGACAAGGGGAACCAGTGCATCCGGTGTTGTTGTGGTGAGCGGGATGGCGACGTCATCCATCCATGCAACTGGAGGCACTGTGACTCCAAGTGCAGCGCTTCCTTCCACATAACGCTCGTTGTCCAAGAGAGCCTCATGTAGTTCTTGAAGGAACTCAGACATCATGAGGTTGAAGGCAATGTCAGCTAAGGGGCTTCCTGGTCTGGAGCCACGTCGAGTGTGCGTGCACTGTTCTTGATGGGAATTGGTGGAGTCACGAAGTTGAAACCATGTCTGATGATGTATATCATGTAGAAATCGGCGTAAGCCTGGCGGGACATCGACTGGATTGATCGAACTGAGTTCTGCCAGCTTCGCGGCCAAAGTCGGGATGTCAAAGTCATCCTGGCTGAATATTTCCTCGAGATCTCGGCTCGTCAGTCCATCTGAAGTCAAGAAAACAAGCTCCCGAAGAAGGTGATGAAAGGCAGATCTGAGGTCCAGGAAGAGTGTGCAGGTCGATAGCTGCGCTGCTTTGCTAACACTGCCATGGAGCTTGAGGATTTGGATGCCTGTAAGGGTCTGCTGTGAAGGGAGACCTCCTATCTGTCCCATTGTTCTTCTCGCCTGTACTGTAGAGTTGGGAGAAGCCTCTGACGCGTCCATGCATGTGTGACTTTTGCAAATGAGTCAGCGATCGATTCCCCGGTACGCCGAGGCATCATCTCTACTGCCTTTGTGTTTGAACAACGCGCAGAGGTGGCCGCCCTTGTGTGGGAAGGGTTCGATGCCTGCTAAAAAGCTTCTGCAAATCAATGCATGTAGCTGTGGAGCAATGGCAACTGAGCCTACACGACAGAGTGAGGATGGTACTCCATCTGGCCCCGGCGCCTTGTGCGGTCGTTGCTTTAGGCAGTGGTCTTCAATTTGAGCAAGCGTGGGCAACTCTTCCAAGGCTATCAATTGCAACATCGGCCGAGCTCCAATTTCTTTGTTGTTGCGTTGAATGCATTGCTGTCGGAGGTGATGCATCTCTTTTGAAAGTCCCGCCTCAAGCTCCTGAAAGTGATTGAGCAAACTTGACCCAAGATCACGCTGGATAGTGTGGCGCTTGCCCTTGTTCTTGGGTAGGATAGCACGAAAGTGCTTCCAAAAGCCGGTCAAACCTTCAATGGAGTGTGTGGTGGTGGCTTGTTCCGCAAGTTGTTGGTAGTAGGCCGGATCCTCTGCTTGTATGGCCTGTCGCACTTTCTGTCCGGCCTGTTGATAGGACCAGGTAGTTTGGGCAACAGCCTGGTCGTGCAGCCTAATCCATTGAGGTAGGTCATGTTCAAGGGCTTGACAGAATGCAGTGACTGCGCCAGGGCTTGTTGACATTGTAGCTCTCCATGAGATGAAGCAAGCTTGCAATGTGGTGTGTCTCCTGGTTCTCGCTAGGTGTCTCAGCTGCTTGAAGGTGAACTTCTTGCGCTCGACAAGCTCCCACGTTGCTTCAGTGATGTGGCTTTTGCGCTTCCAATGCTTGCGGGGCCTCGTGATTTGTCGTAAGGCCGCAGTGACATTCTGAGCTAAGTTCACGGCGGCGACATGTGGATCAAGGCACCAAGGCGTGGGTGGGACGGAGGAATGTAATGTGTAGAGAACTTCCTCATTCTGCAGCTGTTGGTGAAGGTGGTGGGAGTCCCACATGTGCTTCAATGGTGCCTGCCGTTGCTTCGAGGCTTGGACATCAAAGGTGCATCTACAAAGAACGGCAAAGTGATCAGTACGATGCACACTGAGGTCAATATCTTCTGCCACCCAAGACTTCAGTGTCGCATACTGGAGCTCTTGCGGGATGGCAACGTAGTCGATTCTGGTACCATGTTTACCATCAGGAGAGCAAAAGGAGTGATGGGCAGGTCCTGGGTGTGAAGCTGCAAAGGTTGCAGGGAGTTTCAGATCATGCTTCAATAGCCAATGATGGAAAACCTCACCAGCTTGATTTTCCTGTGCCGAGGCAAGATCACCAATGGCTGCTGTAGGGCACTCTCCGACATGAGCATTTGCGTCACCACAATAGAAGATTGGCCATCCGGAAGCTTTGCGATGTAGCTCTGTTGTGATAGTACTCCAGTGGGACTGTGCTTCTTGTCGTGGTCGACCTGAATGAGGTGCCCTGCTTGTGACAACAACACACTTCCAGGAACCGACATTGACCTTGGCAATGAGTGTTGTAGAGCTGGAGTAGACAATGCAGATGTGCTCTCGTCGGATGAGGATGTTGGTAGTGCTGAGAGGAATACAGGATGAAATCCAAAGTTGTATTCCATCTTGTCCATGAGACGTCGCTGGGTGTCCCAGGACGTGATACCATGGATTGTTGGTGCCAGCAAGATGCTTGTGCCTCGTTTCTTGGATGCCAACGAAAATGCAGCCTGCATCATGGAATTGCTGCATAATGACAAATTGTCGCGATATGCTTGTGCCCTGTTGTGGACAATCTTCTGTACGAAGTGTCAGAACATTGGCCGTAGCAATCGTGATGTCAATCTGAATCCACTCCGAGGTAGGAGCGTGATGGGCAGCCAAAGAATGGGGCACCGGATCCTCTGGTTGAACTTGGGGTATTTGTGTGAGACTGCACTCCAAGAAACCGCTTCGGAATTGAGGAGCATGCGGGCACTCAGCTTGCATTTGTTCAAGGTACCAAACCCATTGGACAGCTAGGAGCTGCACAGGATCTTGTAGCCAGGCATGCCAGAGTTCACTATGTGGAACTTGATCGGGGTGCTGCGAGGCGAACTTCGCAATCGTGTCGGCAAGCTCATTCCGTGGGTTGCCTGAATGTGCCTTGACGTGTCTCCAGTGCATTCTGGAGAGACCGTGCCGACTCTGGAGAATCTGGGCGAGACTGCGCATCAGTGCGCGATGATGTGGAAATTGTTTTGTACGGTAATAACCGCCCGCCAAGTAGCCGGCATTCAAGGCATCAAAATGAAAATAAAAGTGGACATCCGCAACTCCAAAGTGCGTCCACAAGTGATTGCTGAGTTGAAGCGCCCAAAGAAGAGCCCAAACAACTGCTCCATTTTCACCTGCTCCTGCATGTCCTTCTGGTGAGATCACTTTGCAAAGGGCGCCTCCGTATGCCAGACCTTGGTGATGCTCAGTGAGCAAAACGATGCCTGCACCTACCGCTCCATCTGTGATTTTCGATCCATCGGTGTAGAAGTGGAGGGCAAGGGGAGCCTCGTCTGGAGTAGCAATGAGTTCAGACAGGGCATCGCAAGTGACCTGTGGTAGTTCAAGGCCAGTAGGCCAGTCCTGTAGGAAATCATTGGTTGCATTGTGGATGGCTTCTAGGATCTGTTGCACCGGTCTGAAATCTACCTGCACCTTCGGGAAGACAGGAATGGTCTCCTCAAGGCTGACAGTCTGTTTTGCCTCTTGGAAGGAAGGTCGTTGGGTATGAGCCACCTGCCCAACTGTTAGGCACCTTCGTTCTTCCAGTGCTTGTTCGGCAGAAGGAGAACTGTGTGTTGACTGTCGAGTGAGTCGCGCATGTGTTTGAAGGAAGTTGGTGCCTTCTGCGTTGGTTTCCGCTGGGGATGTAAGCGTTGCGTCGATGATATCAATCACAATACCTTCTCCTGAGGCCACCTGCGTGGGGATGTTGGGATCAAAGAAGGTTTGGCCGCGTCCAACTCTTCTGGGGTATCTCAACAACGGTCCTGGAATGGGAAATGCAGCGACAATGTCCTCAGCAGAGGAGGCTTGTGGAATGCATGCTGCTACCCGACGCAAGGTTTGCCCTTCTTGGTCACGTACTCTGGCAGTCAGCAATGTTGCAGCTGAATGTGCGGGTAGATGTTGAACGAACAAAATGTGACCCAGTACATGATCTGTCAAAGAGGTCGGAGGGGCTGGTGAGACCCAGAAAAGATCGGCTGGTCTGCTGGAATCATACCGATCGCCCCAAGCTTCACTGAGTGTGCGTTGCCAATTCAGGGGATCATCACGCAAGCGCACCGTGCGTCCTGGTTCACAACGCGGTGCGTATACAGCATGTAGGTACCAGGTTGCAACATATGCAACTGGACCTTCTTCAGTGCGCTCTGTTTCTGCCAAATCCTGAAAAACTCGATGCAGCGCTTGTAGCCAAAGTGGTGTGTGGCCGGGAATCATGTGGCCCGAAAGCACTCTAGCATCAATTGACCTCATTCTTTCACGCAGGTTGGTGCTGGAGGCAACAGCCACATTGGCTTGCAAGGCACGCTGGATGATCAACTTGAAGAGATTGCCATGCCGAGCATACACTCGTTCACGTGGTTCCATGCCGTGGTCCCTCCCAAAGAGTGCACCTGTTCTCGGGATTTTCGGGAGGACAATCTTCATGGGCCTGCATCATGGTGCACACAGAGTGGAGGTCGATGCGAGTGCCCATAACGACAGCTGTGGAATGGGCGCGCCCCTGGTCGTAACCGCTGTCGTACACCGAAATGATGACTGAGCGTTGGAAGACATGGGGTCGCTGGACAAGGATCAACTGACCAATGATTGATCCTGAAGCATCCTCTGGCATCGGTTCTACCATGTAGAATTCAAGTGGTGCGCCAAGAAGAAGATATTGCCGCCAGAGATGGCGCAGTTGTTCTTCCCATCTATGGGCGTCTGGTCCAAGGACTGCGATTCTCGTATGGTGGCATCTTTGAAAATTCGCATGGTCAGTGAACCAGGTTTCCACTCTGCCCAAGCGTTCCATGCCTCCTGGCCCAATGGTAGCGGAGCGAGTCCAAGCCTCGTGCAATTGTTGTACCCACGGATCATAGGCAGTGATGTCGCCTGGGTCATCTTCAGGGAATTCCGGTGTAGCTTCTGTCGCAGTCCGCAGTGCATCGACTGCTCTCAAAAATTCTTCTGTGAAGCTGAAGGAGATGGTTTCAGGGCGATCATCAATTTGGCATGCTGATGTGATAGCGGGACTATCTGCCTGATGTCCGGGGTCCTGCATCACCGAGATTGCCTTTGTGATGGCTGTCTGAAGAAACACCATGGGCTCATGGTCTTCAGTGCACTGAAAGCGGTGCTCATTGTTGCCAATGAAGATCTTGATAAAGTCACCATCTTCAATGGTGAGTGCATCACTTACTGCAGAATCAATGAGGATGTTGTTGATCCAGAGACTGGTCTTGTCGGCATGGAGCACGAAAATATTCTCGAGACATAGAATGCGGAATAGTGAAAGCCTGGTGGCAGTGTGGGGCAACCATTTTGCGGCACGCTGAAATGCTCCCGGTAGGATGTCATTTTCCTCAAAGATCTCTAAGTCCAGGAGGGTCAGCCGCAAAAATGGGTTCGGTCTTGTCTGATGGGCCATGGTGACCAGTAGGCAGTCTAAATCCATTGCAACAAGATCTTCTGGCTTCTCTGAGACAATGTAGGCTGCAGCAACCTCACCCTGTGAATCAGGAAGTGCAAGTCCGATTTGGTGAAGCTGTTCTGGCCCTGGCTCCTCAGGCAGGAGGCATGAGACAGTTGCTCCATCAAGGGGAACTACAACCGTGCGGCGCCATGCAGCAGCATCAACGTGTGAAGGTGCGCTGGCTGTGTCGGTGTCTGCACTTGTTGTAGAGGAGGATGAGCCAGAGGTGATTAGGTCGCGTGGACGCGGGCGGCGTCCCATTAAAGCGACATCATCATTGTCATTTCCATCATCTTGATGTGGCGCCTGGGCAAACTCAGGCCATTGTTCAATTCTGGGTCGAACATATGTATTCCATGCTTCATCATTGAGGAGCAGAGGAACATTGACTACTATTCCAAGTCCATCGGTCACACGCAACGGCCGTTCTCTTGGGAAAACATGCTGACCGGCACGTAAAACGCAAGGTCGAAGTCCTTGACGTTGGGCTTCAGCACAGGCTTCATAAGCTTCGGCTCGATGAAGTACAGTGACATAATCCGTCCATGTGTCTAGGACATGGGCAATTTCGAGTGTACGCGGTGCTGGGAGTTCATCGAAAAGTGCCGTTGTCAAAACTGCAGATCCACCAGGTTGTTCATGTTGAACAATGAGCACAATCCCAACAATGCCTCTTGTGATGGAGATTGGCGGTTCCGGCTGAACAAGAAAGAGGTTGAAATCGGAGTCTTGATCAAATAGGTCGCCCCAAACCTGCTTGAACTCCTCGATCCACTCCTCGTAGCGCCTTGTTAGTCGGATTGGTCGACTGGCGGCCTGTCGAATGCAATTTCGATGACTCAAATAATAAGTGCTGAGGTAGATCACCGGCCCTTCTTCGAGAAGCTCGGTGGCTCCTTCGTCTTGCAAAATGTTCCATAGTGTCCCTACCCAGGCAGGAAGATGCCTGATGGGAACTCTTCTGCGTCTGCCTCCTCCTTCAGATCCCTCAGAGGAACTTGGCGGATCTGGGAGGTTCGGGTTTTCAGTCAAGTCAGGCCTACATTCCATGGGCTTTGAGCTTGACAATTCCAAAAGCGGTTGTGAGGAAAGAATTTCGTCACAATCATTGCAAAGGGATTGCGAGGATGTGCTGCTCTTCGGCGGCCACTCTCGTTGTGGGACATCAGCAGTAGGAACCCTGCTGGTAGTCCATGAGGAGCTGAATTCTGGTCCAAAGTGGACTTGTGCAAAAGGATTGAAAGAGACTGTAAGTCCCTTTTTGCATCTTTTGTGAGGAACCGAGAAGCCCCATTCTCGTTTTTCACATTGCCTAACTAGGCTGTCCGGCTGCAGAGTGAATGCCAGGTGCAAGGCATCTTCACTAGCCTGCCAAGGCGACTTGTAGCAAGGCTCTTGCAGGATAGAGTGGGACCATTGCATTCCAGCCACTTCAGCAGCAATTGCATTGGAAGGCCAAGCAGCCCATCGGTCAAAGTACTCTAAAGTCATCAGTGACCGGGCACACCAAAAGGCTGCATTGATGGCAAGCTTTCGGCAGACATGGCGGCATCTGGTGGGTCGCCTTCCTTCTGTCGAGGGCGTTTCGCCTTGCGTTCTTCTTCTGCCTGCTCTTCTGCTGCTTGGTCTGAAAGCTTCTGAAGGCTCTCTGTCATATGGCTCAGCCCTTTCAAGATCTGGGCAGCTGATTCTTTGGTTGTTGTGGCTTTGGACTCCACCTCGTCGTCGGAGATCACAGTTGCTGCTTCTTCTTTGGAGCTGAAATCCTCCTTGGCCTTGTGCAGTCTTTCCTTGGCCAACTTGATGTTTTCCTGATGCGCCTGCTCCTGGTTCTGGAAGTGGTCTGTATATTGACGAAACCGCTCCAGGGACATGGTGAGGAAAGCTCTCCATTGCGCCATCAGGTTGCTCTTGGCCAGGACCGCCGTGTCGAGCTACTCTCTTGCCTTTGTCAAGGCTCCCACAGCTGAGAAGAGGGTCTTGGCATCCTTCTTGCTGGCAGCTTTGGTTTCCTCTACCACAAACTGCTGCAGCTCCGGTGTGAGCGTTTCTTGATTCGCCTTTTTGAGTAGGTTGGAAACCTCCCTCAATTTCTGCTCGGCTGGCGACAATGCGGTCGTTGAGGATGTCGATGCTCCAGGAGGTAGAGGCATGCTCATCCATGGCGGTTGCTGTTGCCCTTCCGGGCCAGAAAGCGGCGGTGGAGGAGGTGGTGCAAGTGGTGTCTGCTGGGGAGCACTGCGTCCCTTGCCCTTGCCTTTGCCTCTGCTTCTGGTTTTCTTGGGCTGCTGCCTCGGGCTTTCTTCTCCATGTTGGCCTCCCCAAGGTTGAAGGTCTGGTGCGGTCCAATATGACCTCCTTGAGGACGATCTCGACTGCGGTGCTTTCGGCTTCGGGTAGATGATACAATCCTCCCAAGCCGAGCCACAGAGATCGCAGAACCATGCGTTCTTGGCCCTGAGTTTCTTGCAGTTGCCACACATCCAACCAGCATTGTTTGGATTTCGGCCTGACATCGCAATACTGATGCGTCGAAGGAACTTGGGGTCCTTGCTGTGGTGTGATGCCAAGGTGTTGTGTATGGAGGCCAATTGAGCAACTGACAATGTCTTGATCCCAAGTCGATGAAGATGCCAACGAAAGCGTGCAGCAGCTCGCTTTCTTCTGAGCGCTCTTCTCGCTGAAGGTAAAATGATGACAAAGTTCAGGAAACTCAAATTCAGATATAGCCAGGTCAACAAGCTCGAAGCCCAAGAACCAAATGAGGAACGTGAAGATCCTAAAGCACCTGCTCATACACAAAGGTCAGGAACGATTCCGTGAAGGGGAGCAATGCCAACGCAGTGCAAGCCCGACCGGAATGTTAAAGTCCCGCAGGAAGTGCAAAACCCAATTTAAGGCAGTGAATTGGTAACCCGTCCCAGATCACTTTGTCTGGGGAAAAAACCAGTCCAAAATCAGTGGAAAAGGAATCCCAGGCAACGACGATGTCAGCTGCCGCGGATAAGCTTGTCCAGGTAGATCAGGTTCGAGGTAGGGCAATTGTAAAAGCAAAGGAGGTGTTAGCCTGCCCTGGACTAACAGAGCTCAAGGCAACAGCGCTGTGCAAAGCTGTGCCCGCGGCAACGATACAATCGCTCCGCTAAGGTTGACGGCAACGGTTCGTGGGGGCTGAAGCCGAAACCTTATATATATATATGTATATATATATATCATATACATATACACACACATATATATATATATTATATCATGTGTATATATACATATATATATATATCATATATATATATATATCATATATATATATATACATCATATATAGATATATATATATCATATATATATATATATCTGTGTCTGAACTATGGCATCCCACTATCCATTGGTTTATCATCATCAGATCGTCATGTTCTCGATTAAAACGGTAGTGTTCTGGGTGTTTCACGTGCCGGTGTACCACATACGTCATTTGTCCATATGCTTGAAGAAAACGATCATTGACGGGGAACAACATACATGCTAAGATCAGCCAGAACTATTTGTTGGTTCTTGAGGCTGTGACAGAAAGATGGGGTTAGACTACTGAAAAGAAACAGGTTGACAGATATAATGTGTAATCGCCCATAGATGATGGTTTTAATCTATACATGGGCCATATCACCATTTTATATAACAATTTTCCCTATCGTTTTAAGTTGGTTGATTCCCCTTCAGCTATAGTTATGCTACCATGATCACCAGAAATCCTGCCAAGCGTGCCTTGTGAACTAAACCAATGTAGGTACCCTCTGGTTATGACTAACAGTTCGCCATGGTATAGATGGCCCATTTATAGATGGTTTACCGGTTTACCTATTAAACATGGTTATTTTCCATGGCTATGTTAAATAACCAACTGGTAACCAGGGATCAGCACATCATCACAGCTCACGCGTTGGCTGAATCATCTTCAAACATTGGGCAGGTACCTGTGACGGCCCAAATAGCCGAAGTGAAGAAGGAAGAAGCGAAAGCACCTGCCAAGGAAAATCCACAGGTTCAAGAAAAAGAGGCCTTGTTGAGAGATGGAGAAAACAATCAAAGGGTTTGGCATTGCTCAGGGTACCCGTATTTGGCTATAGGATGTCTAGTTTCTTTCCCTAGGATGGCAATTTCTTGATGAGGACACCAACTGATGTTAATGGTTTTGGTAGATTGGAGCCAGCAAACGCACATAGTCAGATAGTTAGATTCCAAGCGTCTCCCAAGTGGATGGACCTGCAAAATTGGGTTCAGAAAACAGGAGACTCAGTTGATCCTGAAACTGTCGACACTGCCACCAACAAGATTTAGACTGGTTGGTGGTTTGGAACATGTTTTTTCCATTCAGTTGGGAATAATGATCCCAACTGACTTTCATATTTTTCAGAGGGGTAGGTATACCACCAACCAGTATTGTATTTTACTTATTTTCAGATGATGGCATCCCAGCATTGTGGATCTGGCACAGTCAAAATCGATGACAGAAATCCAGAAAGAAATCCTCAGGGGATTGAGGTACACGGCATCCACTGCAAAGCGAAGATCGAATCATCCGTTTTTTCGTTCTCAGACGTTCACATCCAGCGGTTTTCGATGTTGTTCAGAACGGTTAGAACCAGCTATTCTCATTTTAGGTCCTCCAGGTCCTACACCGCTAAGCGAAATTACTTTTGGTTTATGGTAGAATATACCCTCTGGTAATCCTACGCATGGCAATGGAAAGTCCACTATTTACAGTTGATTTTCCCAGTTTTTTTCACCTCCATGTTTTTCGAGGATTTCCATGATTCCTCCAGCCAGGTTTCTTACTGGATATCTAATGAGTAAATGATGGGGCTATCCACCGTGCCCAGCGCTGAAAAAAGTGCCGCAGACTGTGTCGACGACCTCCGACCTTGCGGATCTCTTGAGTCAAACCATGAAAGAAGTCGAGGTGCGGCGATCGGCGATGGTAGGGGTGAAGTCTGAAGGATGATTAAACTACATGCAGTTAACCATTTAAAGTGGTTGGAATTAACATGATTTGACTGGATAGTTATTATATATGTCATTATTGGATATATAATTATATATATATATACACATACATACTTTGTAATGGATTGTTTCACCAGCTATAATCAAGTCATTCAAGACTGGGTTGGATTCGGCCGCCAATCGGGGTCCCAATTTTCATGGGGTTAATCAGTTAATATGCCCATGATGCTGGGGGGAATCCCATTCATGATGGTGACAGTTTTCTGACCTTGGCACAGATGACTTGCGGGCGGGCGTCAATGACTTTGGTTATCAGCCTTCCTCCAAAGATTTGATACTTTGCAAATGGGACTGGGACCCCTGGAACCCCATGAGTAGCTTCAAGAAAGTCCAGTCCCAGATACAGGGGGTCGTTTTGGGATGTCAGCCATGGGTTCCAGGCTTCAAACCTTGGCCCATTCCAGAATGCGAAGTCAGACATCGTTCAGCTGTATACAGCCATAGACAGCGCAACGTGGTGATGCCCCCGAACTTGTAAGCTTGGTTTCTGTCCCACTAACCACAAGATAGATATATGTATCATAAACCAGACAATATATATATATATATATACATTATGATTATGATTATTATTATTGTTATTATTATTATTATTGTTATTGTTATTATATGTATATATATATATATATGCAAATCTGTAACCAACTTAGCAAATAAACTGGGGCATCACCTGGTATTTGGATGTTGGAACCTTGGATGTTTGCTGGGAACCGCCACGATAGACTCGGTTGCTGTCATGACCGCGTCATGGGTTCGGGTTCACGGTTCCTCCCCGGGTAATTTTCACATAGCTATGGGGGACCATTTAGTTCGAGGATTTAGCGATGAAAACAATGGCGATGTTCAATAGTTACCCTCTGGTAAGCATTTACATAACTATGGAAAATCACCATTTCTAGTGAGTTTTCCCATGAAACATTGTGATTTTCCATAGTTATGTAAATGTTTACCAGAGGGTAAACGTGAGTAAACACTCTAGAGGCTAGCCAAGGATAGCTTCGATTCCGAATGTGGTGAAGCCAACGTTTAACGGGACCTCCACTGATTCTGCAAGCAATTTCTTGTAAATTGGCCATGTTAAATCAATTGTTGGCTTTATACTGTACTTGTATTGCAGTATGCGCATTTACCGTTGGTTAAATCATTTGATTGAATCCACATTTATTTTGATTTGTGGTATTTGGTTCCCATGTTTGACATGTTAGGCTGCTTTCGGTACATTGGTGGCTGCATCAAACAGCACAAATCCTTTCAGTTGTCCAAAGAGACATCGATGGAAACGAAGGTCCTGATGCCACACTGAATTACCAAGTTTCATCATATGTGTTGAGCAGGAGCAGCAACCTCCAAAAGAAAAGAAGGCGTGTTTAGTGGGAGCCGCAGCTTGAGGCAGATGTCTGGAGCCGTTCTTTGGCTCGTGTTTTGGATGATTTTTGGCTATTTTTTTGCATTCCATCCTTAGATATAGTCCTCGGCGAAGATTTTTTCGCAGGGAAATGCGTCAGGTTGTTTGGGTAAGAAGTGTGTTTCTGAAGAGAGCACTATGGGATGCGGAAATTGTCCACCACTAAAGTCGCACTTGGAAACTCTTTTGTGGGGTCACCCCCACGGGTACATACGTTTTTACTTGTATAGTGTATATATATATATATAGCATATTATATATTATACATATGGTATACACATATTATACATTTGTATATTATAAGTTATAATATATATATATATATTATTATATATATTATTATTATATATACATTATTATTTATATATTATTATAATATATATATATATGATGTATATATATATAATGTATATATATATGATGTATATATATATGATATATATATATGTATGATGTATATATATATATATACATTATATACATATACATCATATATATATATTATAATAATATATATGATGTATATATATATATAATGTATATATATATATATGATGTATATATATATATATATGATATATATATATATATACATGGAAATCAAATCATCTGGTTTCTCAGTAGTCAAAGCCTCGTGCTGCAGCGTTGCGGCAGGGGGCGTAGAATTGGGACTGGAAGATGGGTTCTATGTCCATGTAACGCTACCTCCAAATGAAACGGACAGCCAGGATAAAGGTAGACTTGGGATGTCTGGTCAAAGCTGGCCTTGGACTCTTTAAAGATGGTTTTTTGACTAGTACGATGTAGTCAGACGTATTTGCCACATGAAATGGACAGGCATGCAGGAAAAGGATGGAAAAGATGGGCTTGGAATGCCCTTTCGTGGCTTAAACTATAGTGGCAAGCCTTTAAATCTGCAACTTTCAGGTCAGAGCTGGCCTTGCAACCTGTCAAGTTTGTTAGATGTGATTTTAAACCATTCACCTTCAGGTACTCAGCGACCATTGGTTTATTTATTCTAAGTGAATCTTCAAGTAGCGTAGCATTGACTATGTGTGCAACTTGTATTTGATATAGCATTAATTATGTGTGCAACTTATAAGTGACGTAGCATCACCTATGTGTTTAAATTCCTCTTGAACGTTATAGCCCCCCCGCCTCACCCCACCAGTGCAAGCATGTGGCACGTTTAATGAGACGGTGCAGTTACTTCACCACTGGCTGTTTTAAACTGTGTTTTTCTTGTTTTGTTAAGGGCTGCAAATTAAACCACATGTAATCTGATAGCTGTGTAAAACGGCGGAGGGGGGGAGTAACTGGCCTCTTCCCTCCATAGCGATACTCAGGGCGTTCAAGTTTTCTGGGAGAACCTTCGTCTCTGGAGTCGTTTCTTCGTTGGTTTTTAACCCCCATTTTGTTATAACCCCCCATAAAGGCCCATAAACCTTTAGATCTACAACCAGGCTGACGGTTGCTGAACTCAACCAACTCAACTACCTAGGCATCACCTGACCATCGTCACAGGTCTCTGAGTTCATGGAACTGACGAGTATGGCAATGAACGATGGTCAGGAGCGGAGTGACTGAGTGACTGCGGAGTGGGGCAAGCGCCGGGGGTAGAAACATGTAGAAACCTTGCTTTCTGTCGGGATAGAAAACTACATCGTTCCAATCAAAGTGTGATAAACAGATGATAAACAGACTAAGCATCATAGAGATTTCCATTTGAGGATGTCCCAGTCTCTAGAAGCAAACCATCCCATGGAATTGTCAATGCAGTTGGCTAAGGGGTGATCAGACTGCATAAAGCTGACAGGTTTGGACCACTGCAGAATCTGTGGTGTTTCAGATTGTGATTCCACAGCTCCACAGCTGGAAAGATGATCAAACGAACCTGAGAGCTGGAAAGATGGTCATGTTTTGAAGCCAGTGCCCAAAATAAACCTGGCTGCCCAATCCTCCATTTGAAGGTGATTTGAGCAGCGTCGAGCAGCAACTCTCAAGCAGAGAGAAAAGATAGAAAATGATAGAAACGTAAGACCATGTCAAACCATTATCAAACCCAATTCTATAAATAATAGGTCAATGATAGCAAATGAATGCAAATGACAAATATGATTGTATTTATTTTTTTTTGGGTGTACCTTCTGGTGGTCAAACATGGCTCTTTTCGGGAAAAAAAACATATGTATGGTTGATGTTCCCAGCTATAAACCTCCATTCATATTTTTAATAGGGGATTTCCAAGCTAGCCATGTTTGATGACACCATTTTTGGGCTGTCTGGAGCCCACCAGCTGCAAAGCTACTGGCTAGTCTATCCACTTGAACTGTGAATCGTGACCAACGAAAATCATTGCAGAATTTACCAGCAGGTAATGGAAACATATGGATTTTGTTCGCCCTGAAAGTGTTCATGATTTACCTGATTTACATTGATTTACAGAAGGGGACACCCTGGGAGTGCGGTTTTTCACTGCATTCTGCAACCACTGACACTGCACATGTGCCATGGTTCTCTCACTGCTTCGCAACCGTTGACAATTTCTGCTTGGTTATTCTGCAATGGCTAAACAAAACCAAAATAAAAAAAACAAAAGAACAAGAAACAAAACAAAAAAAAATGACAAGACCCAACTCTCTGCCACTACTCCACCCCTTGGGGTGTGCAATCGTGTTGTTTTTTTGTTTTTTTGGTTTCTTGTTTTTTTGTTTTTGTTGGTTTCTTGGTTTTTTGGTTTATTGTTTTTTTGGTTTCTTGTTTTCTTGTTCGTTGTTGGTTTTTCTGCAATGGCTAAACAAAACCAAAATCAAAAAAACAAGAAAACAAGAAAAAAAACAAACAAAAGAGAAACAAAAACAACATGACAAGACCCAACTCTTTGCCACTACTCCCCCCCTTGGAGTGTGCAATCTGCTTGTTTTTTCTTTCTAGTTTTTTTTGATTTGTGTTTATTTTATTTTATTTTATATTTTTTGTGTTTTTTTTTGTGTGTGTTTTTTTGTTTCTTGTTTTTTTGGACTCTTGTTTTCTGGCTCGTTGTTGGTTTTTTGAAGGGCTAAGGACCTAGACCTAACTCTTTGCCAGTTCTCCCACTTTAGGGGTTGCAAACTTGCTTTTGGTTGATTTTATTATTTGCTTTGGACCTGTGGTTCCATTAGAAAACAATGTAAAAAAAAACTATGGCAAAATGCAGGTATCACTGGAGGAAATTTGGGGGGTGTGGGACACAAATTGGGCAATTTTGTTTGTTTATGTAATCTTTCAAAAATGGTGTTGAGCAAATGCAAAAACATAGGCAGCCAATGAATGTGTAGAACTGATTTTGATATTGAAATTCTTGGCTCAAACCCTTGGATTAGCACATGTTCAAACACTTTGAAAGATTCCCTTGAAAAGGAGTGATGCATCTCTTTGAAGTGAGTGCTTCCTTCAACAAGTGCATTTCTTTTCTAAAATGGTAGAGTCCGGTAGAGCATCCCATTGAAGTAGGTCATGTCTTAGTCTACTTCTATGTCAAAAATGAACCCTCTTGCACATGCAATGCCCTTTTCACAATATACTTTCTTAAATGAAGAACACATTGCACATGTAAGCACGTAAGATATGTCTTTCACAATTGCAGATCATTTTTCTGAATGCATAATGTGGTATTCTTCCAAGACAATGAACCATATTTTGGGAATAACACCCTTTCTCCCCTCTTGAAACATATTGTAATTTGAAGAATGTGCATCTTTTCTGTAAATCTTAAGACAATCAAACATTGTTTGAACATATTGTACTGTAGTGCTCACAGTTTCAAGCATATTGCACTTTTGAAAGAGATGCCCTATGTCAATAATACTGCATATGTCATGCAGAAATAGACATCTGGAAATGCACACTGCACTCCTTCAAAGGGCATGGTGCAACTTTTCAAGGAATACTTCATATTTTGTTTGGATATTGTCCCTGCAAAAACACACTGCATTGCCCGAAAGGAAGATTACTCTTATTCAGAAGGATATGTTTGTTTTGAATACTGCATTTGTTGGCATGTACAGTATGGGGATGTTGTAATTATGTTGAAGTCATCTAGCATATTCTGCAGAAATTGTGTTTTGTTGGACAATGTTTTGTAGCATTTATCGGTAGAGTGAACACCTGGACACTTCAAGCAATACATGCTCGACATCAACACAGCTTCATCCCACAGCGTCCTCATTCCATCGTCGAAATTTTTCATCCTCATGAAAAACACTAAAAGAGCACTGTCCCAGGGTAATTATCTATGTTAGATTGAGGTTAACCACCTTGAATTTTGCAGGGTATCTATGGTATCACTAAGATTGTCCATGTTTTTCGCGTTTTCGCAGGGTGCCTTCACGCCGACGCATGACTTTTCTGTAACCTGGTGGCAGTGAAGGCTGTAGGTAAACATGGCGGGCTGGGAGATCTTCCATTTTTTATGGCAAAATCATAGGACTCCTCTGGCGCTTGAAGGGATACCACATGATACCACTGGGTCGATGACTTTTTGGGATATGGGGAGATGTTGGAAGGGAACGTGGAAGCTCCCAGAGGTTTGTACGTGGAGTCACGGGGATCCTTGAGATGATTCTTCCGTTGTACAAATGATTTACCCTCTGGTATATTAACACCATGTTTAATGGGAAAATCACCATGTTTAATGGGAAAATCACCATGTTTAATGGGAAAATCGTGGAACATCAGCGAAGTAAATGCCCAGCTTCGCAATGTGAAAAAGTACTTAAGAGGGTAATCGAACACCAACATGCCAGAGGTTCGTGATGCTTTGACCTGAAACTATATCGCAAAGCTGGCTGAAAACCTGGAGTTGTCAGGGCAGAACTGGCCTTGGACTCCTTAAAGGTTATTGTGCAGTCTGCGTCCTGAGGGGCTGGCAGCGCACCTTTGGGCACACAGGGGGCCAGAAACATGATGTAGTCATTCAGGGGTATATGGGGTTCGAACATGTTGAAACGTCTTTTCAACCATGACATATTATTGTAGCCAAACGCGTTCAAACCGGCAATTTTTCAGGTCAGAGCAGGCCTGCTATTTCAAGCAAGGTGCTCTAAAGTGGTCAGGGACTGCTGGATCAATTTCTTCCCATGGCACTTGCTGGTTTTTCTGGCACCCACAAGCATATAATTCTACAATTTTCCAGCTGAGGTTGGACGTGGACCCTTCAAAAACATGTTGTTAACAACAAGTCTTGGGGTACTCAGCTGACACTGGGATTAATTTCTTCATATTTCTCACCCCTTGTACAGTCCAGCGTCCGAATATCTCCAGCATTCCCCAGCAAGTGCCCGGTACCCTCGGATGAAATTCATCGAGGGGTCCCTGAGTACCTCACAATACGTGGTTTCAAGTTGTTTTTGAAAGGTTCAATTTGCCAGCCCCAAGTGGCAAATTGCAAACTTGCAGGCTTTCTGCAACAACAACAATTCAACAGCGTGCCTTTGGGTGTAGAAGGGGCTCTAGGTTCATTTTCTTCGACGAAGGCACTTCGAAGGGGGCTAGAAACCTGCCCACATGAGGAATGCCCAGGCGACAAGCATAGCTTGGGAAAGCAAAGCTTGTTTTTTTTTCAAGAAAGTGTGTAGCCAAAAGCGTTCAAAAATAGGGTATTTTCAGCTTAGAGCTGGCGACACTTGGGGAGTTTTCTGAGGACATTTGCTGGGGATATCTTGGGGCTGGCAGTAAAGCTTTCGACCTGTACGCGCGGCGCCAAAACCATGTAATGTAGTCAAACGTGTGTCCCACATGAAATGGACATGCATTCTTGGAGGTTGGGATGCTGTTTTTTTGCCTATCGAACTACGTGACCAAAAAAATAACTATGTCAGATGTGCCCAAGAGGACCCTGATAGCGGCTATGAATTTCACCATGTGCACTTCTCAGGAGACAAATGTTACCCAACTTTCGGCACAAAACCAACCAAAGCGATGGAATATGTTTTTTCTTCTTGATGACAGGCAGGCTGGAGGCAAATTCATTCTGAATGATCTAATAAGGGCACTGACATTTTTCCGTCTAAGGCAAGGGTTGTGGAACAACCAAACCGGATTTCAAGTAACTTGTGAGCACTCCCTGGATTTATTTTTTATTTTAGATTATGTGTTTAAATAATCCTGGGTAAGCACCCTGAATTCTTACCCACCCCGCCTTTGGATTATTTTTGAAAAAAATCAATCCAACATCCTAGGTGGGTTCCCCCCTACCTTTAAGGCAAGGGGTATGAATGAACTAATATGTTTTTTTCGTTTGCGAGGGAATGTGTATAAATGAGAAATCATGCAATGTATAAATGAGAAATGGATAGAAATGGATAGAAATGGATGATGTCCAACAAGGTACATGGATTATAGATACTATAGAATAGATACATATAGATACTATAATAGAAGTTTTTTGGTTGATTTTCTCATTAGAACCCCATAGAAAGCCCATTGAAAGCAAAGGTCGATGTCGATCCCTTCGCGACGCATGGGGCCTCAATGGATGTGGTATTGCAAGCAGATGCCGAAACATGTTACAAAAGGATGGCATAGCTGGTTGGTGGTTTCAACCATCTTGAAAAATATTAGTCAATGGGAAGGATTATCCCATATATTATGGAAAATAAAAAATGTTTGAAACCACCAACCAGTTATAATTTGATAAAGGTTTTCCACACATTTCCACGTTTTGGAGGGTGCTATAAAATATCGTAATATATATATATATATCTTTATGGATAGCAAACCATCAACCACAATAGAAGTTGGAATCTAAACATGTACCTCATCATCATTGCCAAAACAAATGCCTTTGGAGGAAAATCACTGATGGCTGACCTAAAGTGGCACTGGCTGACCGGGTTTATCTGAAAATCGTGGATAGACCCTCCACATACCACCAAAAAATGGTAAATCTATGTAAAAGTACTAAATTTATCGGATAAATATATGGATAAACTCTATTTTTATGGGTACTTGGAAGGTCCAGGTACGGCCCCTTTTTTGAATGTTAATTCGGACATGATATTGACAATTTGATTGGATTTTGGAGTTTCTGTTAACATTTTCAGACAAAACCGGACGTTTTATTATTGTTCAGCATGGCGGTAAGCGTTCGCTACACATCGTGGTTGATCAGGCACTTATTGACAACATAAAAACTTCAAAGGTGCGGATGGTCAAGGTGCCTCTAACACTGGTTGGTGGTTTGAAACACTTTTTATGTTTTCCATTTTTTTCCATATATTGGGAATAATCATCCCAACTGACGAACTCATATTTTTCAGGGGGGTAGGGAAACCACCAACCAGAGTTGTAAGATGTTAGTGGATGAACCCTATCCAACTTCAAACTCCCAGGGATATCACCTACCAATCGCCATGAAAAATCCCACTGGTTGGTGCTTTGGAACCATGGAATTTTCCCAAGTGATTTTCATACCCTATTTGCGCTTGTCTGAGTTTTTCAACGCGGAGCATCCTGAGGATTGCAGACATCCATGCGACTTCCAGGTCGAATGGTGTGGCATCTCAGGGGTACCGCTTCGTTGATGGTGGTTTGTTGAACCCGTTGGTTGAACCCTGGGACGTTTTGCCCGGGCTGCAACGTTGGTTTATAGAGTTACTTACGTATAAATACCGTATAAACCCCATGAACCATAGATAATTGTCTAGATATTCATGTTTACCATATATTTATATAATATATATATATATATATATATCTTTATCCACCAACTTAGCCAACAGCCAACGAACTCAACAGCCGCCCCTGGCAACTCCGTCCAGGCCGGGGTGCCAATGGCACCCGTAACGGTGAGAAAAAGAACGGTGCCGAGATGGAGGCTTTTGCGGCGGAGCGGCGGAGCGGCGAAGAGAGAGGGTAGATATATATGTCCGGATCTAATTTATGGTAGATATATCGATATTAGATATAAATGGATATTTTATTAGATTATATTAATTTTATATTTATGGTAGATATCTATATTATAATGCATCATATCTATATTACTATATTGGTTATTTATTGGTTATAATGGCAATACCAGATTTTCCATAACCCCCCCAAGGTCAGATTGATCTTGGGGGACATGGGCTTCCAAGGGGGGTACCCGGTATGGGAGCTATCCAAACTGATGATTTTTACAAAGAATTTTTCATTAAAAATTGATCATTTGGGGAATAGTCTTGTTTTTTTTCAATTTTTCAATGATCAGCAGTGATGGGTTCTGGTGTTCATGAGGTTTCAACTTAAGTATAGAAGAAGGACACCATTTGAAAATGAAGAGAGTTGGAAAATAAAACAAAATGGGATTTCAGCACTGGAGGTTGATTAGTCGGGTCCAGGCAAAAGAGATTATTAATCCAAGGGGACCACCTGTTTTTAAATTACATTTTTTTGGGTGGCAGTGGAGTTTGATTAATCGGGCGGTGTTGATTAATCCTAACTTGGACATTCTGGTTATGATGGATATATTGGTTATAATGGATATATGGTTTTAATGAGAATGTATATAATGGAAATATCTTCGGAATATTTTCTAGTTATTTCCAACAAGATGTGGGATGGTTTATATATCCATGAGTTCTGCAGTTTTTCTGGAGTGTAAAAAAAACAACTTCGTGGGAATTCATGGAGATTGATAGCCACTCGATGGCAGGCCGCCATAGCTTGGGTATGGCTTGGTTTTCCATGTTCCTTTTCCTATGGAGATATATTGTGAGATAAACATTCAAAACAAGATATGGAAAACATACTCTCCATGTGAAATGATCTGTACATGATGGTTTCTCCATAGTGTCAATTTGCTGCAGGGTATACTGTACTCATATATATATATATATGTATGGATTTTCATTGTACAAAATGATCAAACATGCACCAATTACAATATAAGTTCCTTTTTTCGGGTTTGAGTGATTCCAAAACTATGCAACTTATGCATGAAGTGTGCTTGGAAGAAGTTCTTGCAGAGGACTCTTGTTTATTTTTGTCTTCGGGTTTCAGCTCCAAAATAGAGATATTCATCCCAGAAATTAGAGATGGCTCTCAGCCTCTGGCTGAACGTTTGGGCAGAAAGCGACTGCGAAGGAACTACACCTGAGAATCGTAATCCGGGATGAGATACGTTAAGTGAGACGGGGTTTATGTGGATTTATACTCTTCGATGAACGGTTGAGCATGTTCTTGGGTTATATCAAGTTGTTGTTTTTTCAACGAAGGACTTGCCAGCTGCCATCAGCATCTATCATCATTTCCCTAATCCCCGCGAATCCTTGCGAAAGGTCCCGTTTCTCTATGCAATGGTAAATTAAACATAATTCTACTCCATGGTGGACGTGTCCCAAGATGGAAAGTTCCTCGAAGTGATACTGGCAATGCCCACAATCTCATTTTTGAAGGTCACATCGATTTACATTGCCTGGTTGAAACATGTTGCAACGGAAGAGTACGGGCACCCAGATCAAGCAACCATTAGGTTTCGAGATGATTTACCTGTAACCCTCACGACCTCTTGTGCAGGAAGTGGATGCTGAGCAGAAACTCCAAGAATACTACGAGAAGAAGGGCATTAAGGCGTGAGTGAGGCCTCGAATATGAGTTGAACCGAAAGTCCAACATTCGCAGGATTCGCAACAATCATGTTACATTTCGAAAATGAAAACCATTTTGCATTTTGCCGCCGGCAGTTTTTTTGATCATTTGGAGAGCTGAACTGACCCCATAACTGATCCTTAAAATCCAATAAATATATCCTTTGTAGTAGGTCATGGTCTTCTCTTCCTAGGCTTCAGGTGTAGCTGGTCAAGCCGCTTCTCAACCGAAGAGGTTAGATCATGGTACAATTTGTCTATAGCACATGGGACCCAAAAGATGTTTCACACTTGAGAACATCAATGGTTTTTGTTTATTGTGTTGTTTTGATTTTTATTGGCTGACCATTCCGCAATCATATTACCAATTCAATCATATTCAATCCAGGGTGCTGCTCCATTGCAAGAATACTCCGAGCACCACGACCTCCTTATACCCGTAGCCCGGGCATTTGCTTGTGCCTTTCCTGTCCAGCTGACACATCTGCTGGAATGAACCAGGAATACAATCCACTGACGATTCAAAAGCTGCACCAAGTATTACCAGGGATTGTACATGCGAGCTGGTTTTCAAACAAGTCTAAACATCAGTTTATTGGTTTGTGATCCCATAAAATCCCATTCACTGGTTCGATTTACCCCCATAAAATCCCAGTGATTGTTAATACCCCCTATGAGCTTTAGATGTCTCAACAAGTCTCAACCAGAAACCCAACAGGAACCAGGCGCAGAATGGGCTGAGCACTTTGACCCCCAGGAGGAAGAAGAAGAGGAGGTCTGGGGCCTCCTGGTCCTCCCGGGGCTTTCATGGCTGGGGAAATTCAAATCATCTAAACATTGGGAACGTGTAAGTGTGAAGATTTGAGTATAGAATGAAATATATCTTTCTGGGGAATGCATGAAAGAAATAGAGACTAAAGATGACTGAATTTACACATACTTAGATCATCTTAGATCCTAGCTTTGGGGATTTAATTACATGGACGAGAACTCAGATATTATAGAAACCGTTGGTCACTGAAATAATGGATAATAATGGTGAATGTAAGGGGTAACTATTCCCGGCCTTGATTCAGTTTAGTGAACATACAGGCCGAACTCGTAAAACAGAATACATCCGAGGATGAATATTCTAATTGCAAAAAAACAACACGTAACTTTAGCATATTTTAGCCCCATCATAAAGTTTAGGTATTGTCCTGAATCAATCCATTGAACTACTGGTTGGTGGTTTGGAACATGTTTTATTTGCCCATATACTGGGAAGAATCATCCCAACTGACTTTCATTTTGGTTTCAAGATGGTTAAAACCACCAACCAGATTGTTATTAACCGTCATTAACCATATATTAACCCTTATTAACCATATATTAACCATTGAAATCCCATTAAAATCCCATTAACCATTTATATATATCCATATCCCATTATTAACCATATATTAACCATATATTAACCATTTATTAACCATATATTTACCATATATTTACCATATATTAACCATTAATATATATATATATATATATATCGTTATTGCTGGAGTATGTCTTCCGAACGCTGGGGCGTTGATCCCGTGAGAAGATTGGATGTTGACCCCATGGAGAAGAAGCCACACATTGTCACCCCCCCCCCAAAAAAAAACATCGTCGATGAAAAAGGAGCAAACAAGTTGAATATATATATATATAGCATTATATAATACATACAATATATATATATATTTATTTATATTATAATATGATATTTATATATATATGTTTAATTTACATATATATATATATACATATATTATATGGGTAAATTATAACGACCTCACTGCGACCTCACTGGAATCATGGTTAACAAGGGAAATCATCCCCAAATGGCCTTAATTCAGGTTAGTGAAATATTATAATTTACCCATATATATATATATATCTATGAATATATACTATATTATCAGGGAGAAGTGTAGCAATTAGTTTCGAAACATTGTTTTGACCTGTGCTATCTATCTTTGGGACATAAGCTCTTAGATGCACCTGCAGCAGTTGAGAAGACCCAAAACACCCACCTGGAACCCCAAAAAAAGGTGGAATCATCGGTTGTTTCAGTATGGTAATGGTCCCGACATAACACATGGATACAAATGGTTGCGGAAGGCACCATTGACTTCTGGTTGTTTTGGGCCCAAAGTATTCTGAATCACTGCTAGCATTGACCTATTCAGGAATCATCCGTTACACTTGCCGTGTGCAAAGCAGGGCGAGGGTGTCCCCGGAAATGTATCTATGTTTGAGCATATCGTAAATCTTAAGATTTCATTCCTGGCTTTAGGATTGCACATGGACCCAGTGAAATGCCGGATGAGAATCGTCCAAATGTGTCAGTTGGGGATTTGTGTCAGCTGGGGGATGGTGAGTTCCGTATCCGTTAAGATGGTGATATCCCATTCATATCCTAATTGATTCACCATTCATTCGCCAATGAATCCTTTTGTTGGTGGTTCATCTCACCTTCTAAGTTACTTCACCCGAGTTGTAAGATGTTAGTGGATGAACCCCACTTATCCAACCTGGTTTGTGGTTTGGAACATTTCTTTTTCCATATATTGGGAATAATCATCCCAACTGACTTTCATATTTTTCAGAGGGGTAGGGAAATCACCAACCAGACTTGTAAGATGTTAGTAGATGAAACCTATCCAACTTCAAACTTCCAGGGATATCACCTACCAATCGCCATGAAAAATCCCACTGGTTGGTGCTTTGGAACCATGGAATTTTATGACTTTCCATATACCCTATGGTAAACGTTTACATAACTATGGAAAATCACCATTTTAAGGGGAAAACTCACTATAAATGGGCCATTTTCTATAGCTATGTTAGTTTACCAGAGGATATTGGGAATGTCGTAACCCCAACTGACGAACTTATATTTTTCAGAGGGGTAGGTATACCACCAACCAGAAATGGTGAGGAAGAGCAGCCGATCATCAAGCGTATCTCGTCGCCGATCACGTTGTTTGGACGTTGCGCTGAAGATAAGGCCAATAAGGAGTGTTTATTGGTGAACAAAAACAAACAGTGAACTGTTGGGTTTATGGTGTATATATACCATATATACACTATATAGTTGTCTATTATTAATGTAGTCTACAAACCTGGGTCAACCAACTGGACGGGTAATTAGTTGAATCGCGTGGTAAATCCCGAAACATCTTCTGCTATGCTACAAATAATCTACATTTCCCAGTCAACATTTTTTTGGCAGGGTATCAAAGATTGGCAATGGTTCTATCGCACTAGTGGGGGTTATAAGCTAACAAACAAAAGTGAGGGGGACCACCCTGTGGTAAGCAAACATGGACATGTACCCATCTTTTCATCGCAAGGGCAGCGGTTTTCCCTGCTTCGGCCGACACTAAAAATATATGACTACAGATCAAAAATAACACACAACATATGACAACTTCGCAGGGTAAATGAAAATATCAAATGGGACGAGGTATTCTATGCTTTCTTTTTAGCATCTGTGCTCGGGTAGCAGGGTTTATACCTTGCCCAAGATAGAACGGTCTCCAATATCTTGGCTCAAAAGCTTAGTTGGGATCACGCCAAATGAATGCTACGGGAAGTTGTTTTTGCCCACAGACTATATACTATCAAAGCGTTTTTACCACAGTGTTTACATTGATCATCTTAGTACAGTATTCTAGCAATTTCTTGCCCATATTCCAGGGCCGAACATATTCCATGCCAAAATAGCTGGGAAATTTCAGGGAATTGCGAAGACCCCTTTCAGGTGAAATTTGTATTTCATACAGTTTGCCAAGTATTCCTTTTCTTCTGGCACGTACGTTGTCGACTGCACATGTTCTTCCCCAAAGAAGATCCTTACTTTCAACAATTTCTGGCAATGTCATAATTAAAAATGTTGAGCTTTCCAAAAATGGATTAATAATGTTCTTATGGAAATTTGTCATCTACACTTTTCACGATCCCAAAACCCAATTCATAAGCTTTAAGCTTATGTTCTGGCACGCTTGGCTGGCCTTTCATCAGCAGCGCCATCCCCATCTTTCTTGACATCTTTGTGGCCCCGCAAAGAGCTCTGCACAACAGGATCTGGGAACACAAATCATCGACGATCCTGTTTTCTTCCGTGCAAAATAATTCCACCGATAGAGTACGATGCCACCCCTGGAGTGCGCTAATTTTCTGGAATGCGAAAATAAAACAGTATGCGTGGCCCCCTTCGACCTTCCCCATGAATCCAACACCAGTTTTTTCCATCATATACCAGAAAATTATCACATTTCACCCTGCTGAGCTTTTTTTTTCTTTTTTCTTTTTTTTTGGCCAAAATTGCCTGGAATGCGATAGTATGTGCAACTACAGACGTCTCACGAAAAACCTCTACCTTTCCCATATTCCAGAAAACGTGATTCCAGGCGATTTTAGCAAAAAAAAAAACGAAAAAAAAAAAAGAAAAAAAAACGAAAAAAACGAAAAATTACCGAGTACGAAGATTTTATGGAGTGCGAAGATCTTGCAGAGTGCGTGGATTTTATAGTATGTGCGCGTCCCTAGCTGTGGAGTGCGATGTCCCATGTGGAGTGCGAAGAATTTGTGGAATGCGAAGAATTCCGAGTATGCGTGGCTGGTATAGAGACCACATAGGGAAATTTCGCGGCCAGAACCAAAATTCCAATCCCAAAGCCGGCCCAAACTTCCAGGGGCACACCAGTGGGTTCTATTTTTCCAAGTTCACCTTGGGTGAGGTCCCGGGGAAGAAACTTGCTAATTTTTACTTAGCCAACCTTTAAAAACGTTACCTTTGACAACCCTGTCCTTCTTCTGTAGACAAATGAGGAAACTTCCTTATCAAAGCAGCCTTCAATTCATTCAACGTCCACAGCTCCTTTGGAACGACATAGGGGATAGAAAGCTGTGGAGGGGCATTCAATGGATTCGCCGTGGGCCAACTGTTCCCTCCAGATTGAGCTGAAATGCCTATCAAAGTAACATACCAAAACCCAGGTCTGGAGTACGATGAAAACATGGTATGCGAAGATTTTCTGAATATGGGAATGTTGCCTTTAGAAGTATTGCATTTTTTTTTCTTACACCTATAAATTATATATCAAAAATGGAATCAAATCTATGTACATTCTTTAGATTAACATGAGACGTTGAATCATATCAATTCATGTTTACTTGGCCCACTTTCTTCGGTCCATTTGGGCCCTGGATGCACGAACGGTTACCTGGGTGACCTGACGCTTAACATACGGTGGATGGTCGAAACCCAAACAAAATATTGGGATCAACCATGATAAACCATCAACTGGTGCAGGATTTCGCTGGCCCATCCACAGTAGAACATATAGTATAACATAGTATAACCTAAATAAATGGCCATAACTTGTGATGAATTGGCATAAATCGGTACAATGTGGTGCCCCCCAGTTATAAGTTGGTTAACACAAGCCCCATGAAAACTATAGTTATAAGTACCATAAACCATAGTGAAATGGGAGTTATGTTCACCAACTTAGCTAACTATGGGGCACCACTATTGCCATAAATAGGTTGGTGTGTCTGAAAATAGTGTACCCCTAAACCCGATGGTTAACGATCATTATCCCTATTAAATGGCTATAATTGGGCATATACCCTATTTTCAGAGAAACCCAGGTATGTTTCATAGGTGATAAATTGCCATACCTTGGGTTTCACCGCCGAAGCTCGGCTCGTTTTTAGGTCGACGGGGCACTGATGATCAGGCGAGAAAAATGGATTAACCATTTAACCATGAAAACTATCATTAGCCATGGAAATAACTACAGTATAGTTTATAACCTATGGTTTATGGTTATTTAATCATTCACTATAGATAGATAGATAGATAGATATCTACCGTAAACCATAGTTCTAAAATACACTCGTTCCAAGCCAACTTAGCCATCTGGAAGGCATATGGAGGTTTCCTGAAATGGGGCTACCCCCAAATCACCCATTTTTGGGGATTTTCCATGAATGAACCATCCAGCTATTGGGGGTACCCCGACGGGTACCTCACTTATGGAAACCTCCATATGGGGAAATACTTTCATTTGAGAAATGGCATCTCAAAAAAGGCCTTTCTGTGCCACTCTGACATATTGGCTATTAGTCTTGTTAGGAACTATGTTGTGAATGACGTTGGGACCGTTGGGAATTAGTTTGTCCATGGTTTTCATGTGTTTTTGTTTTTTTTTCCATTGAGCATGCTGCATGTATCAGATAACTTTGTTTGCTTCTTTTGGGGGTATATCATATGTTTGATACAGTAAACAACATGTTTTTTTTGGGGTGGTTATCATATGCTACAGGAAACAATGTTCCATTCCCAATGGGGAAACATATCAATTAACAATCAATAACCATCATTAACCATCATTAACCATCATTAACCATCATTGACCATCATTAACCGTCATTAACCATCATTGAGGTTGATGATTGTATGGGGACAATTGGCCATAGCCATTGGGGGTGATCGGAGACCCATCATGGCATGACACGTGTACCATGCCACATTGGTACATGCCTTGATCGCCACATATCGCTCGACATATTCATATGATGGCAGAAAACCAATAGCAACAACGACAACAACGACAACGGCGACGGCGACGGCCCGGCAACAACAACAACAACATCAACAACAACAACAACAACAGCAACAACAACAACAACCGCAACATCTACAACATCTACAACATCTACAACATCTACAACATCTACAACAACAACAACAACAACAACAGCAACAACAACAACGACAACGACAACGACAACAACAACAACATCCACAACAACATCCACAACAACGACGACGACGACGACAACGACATCCCAGCTACAGCAACAACAATAATATTTTATTATATAACAACAACAACAACAACAAAAAAAACACAACTACCACAACCACAACGACAACGACAACGACAACGAAAACAACATCCACAACAACATCCACAACAACAACAAAGACCACGACAACAACAACAACAATAGCAACAACAACAACAACAACATCAACAACAACATTAACAACAACATTAACAACAACAACGACAACAACAACAACAACCGCAACATATACAACATCTACAACATCTACAACAACACCAACAACAACAACAACAACAACAACAACAACAACAACAACAACAACAACAACAACAACAACAACAACAACAACAACAACAACAACAATCACTACAACATCCACAGCAACGACGACGGCGACACAACAACAACAACCACAACAACAACAACAACAACATCACCATCAACAACAACAACAACAGCAACAACAACAACAACATCCACAACAACAACAACAACAACAACAACAACAACATCCACAGCAACAACGACGGCGACAACAACAACAGCCACAACAACAACAACCACAACAACTGCAACAACAACAGCAACATCCACAACAACGACGACGACGACGACAACAACAACAACATCAACATCATCAACAACAACAACATTCACAGCAATATTTTTCACAACAACAACAACAACATCCACAACGACGACGACGACGACGACGGCCCGGCAACAGCAACAACAATAATATATTATATATACAACAACAACAACAACAACAACAACAACAACAACAACAACAACAACAACAACAACAACAACAACAACAACAACAACAACATTATTAGCGACAACAACATCTACAACAACATCCACAACAACAACGACGACCACGACAACAACAACAATAACAGCAACAACAACATCAACATCAGCAACATCAGCAACAACAACATTAACAAAATTAACAACATGAACAACATGAACAACATGAACAACATTAACAACAACAACAACAACAACAACAGCAACAGCAACAGCAACAGCAACAGCAACAGCAACAACAAAACAACAAAACAACAACATCCACAACAACAACAACAACAAGAACAACAACGACATTCACAACAACATCCACAGCAACAATGACCACGACGACAACAACATCAGCAACAACAACAACAACAGCAACGGCAACAGCAACAGCAACATTAACAACAACAAATTCCAGAACAACATCCACAACAACGACAACAACAACAACGACGACAACATCAACACCAACACCACCACCACCACCACCAACAACAACAACAGCAACAACAACAACATCAACATCAACATCAACATAAATATCAACAACAACAACAACAACAACAACCACAACGACAACAACAACAACAACAACAACAACATCAACATCAACAACAACAACATCAACATCAACAACAACAACAACAACAACAACAACAGCAACGACAACAACAACAACAACAGCAACAGCAACATATGGATTCAAACGTATTAAACTATTTTTTATATGTGCAGCAAACCTTGAATGTTGATTGAATATTCTGATTGAATATGATTTAATTGAATAGGGCCCCTGGAGTTAGGTTTCATAAACTGTTTGAGAAGCCTGTTATTACAAGCTCCACAGACCATCTTATTTTTTCCCTATCTTGCAGGGTATGATGGGCGGTATAAAACAACCTGGCTATGATATGAGCGATTGAAATAATTCGCTGATTGGTTGTGAAATAGGTAGTTCAAATACTTTGGTTATTGGGGATTACTATAGCCCATCATAGGGAAACATATCAACCAACTAGGCATGAGATACTGTGGATGGACAAGACATCCTGCACCAGTTGGTACTCGTAACTATTGGTAACGGATCCAGCCTTTGCAGCCATCGGGAGATCCAATCGGTGGCGCCAAGTTCGAAATCGCGACAGGTTGGTGTTCATAAACGGTGAAGTCTCGGGTTTACGATAGATAATTCCAAAACCCAATGGGGGTTATGACATCAACCAACAAACATAAGGAGGGTTTGTCCTTAAGAAACAACAACTAGTCAATGTGCTTAAACCAAGAAACATAGGGAGCAGCGCATTGTGGTCACTCATTCCAGGTGGACTTTAGTTTCCTCGAAAAAGGAGATGTGGAAGGCGCGATATATCGTGTGGCAACCCGCAGGCCGTACGTTTTCAAAATATCCTGTAAGCTGTCCTTGCCTTGGGCCAACCTGAGATTGGACCAGAAAAAACATCTGACAGTTTCTGATAACTTGGAATCACACTTGATGCAGCCAAACTCCTACAATCACTGGGGATACTCCAAACAAAAGGATAGGGGCAAAGGAATTTCGGACAATTTCTGACACACGCAGCTGATTTTTTCCGGTACGCAAGAGTAATCCCGTCCCCTTCCGGTAACCATCCATTTTGGGGATTAATTATTCATTAGGTTTCCATTATAAACCATCCATTTTAATAGGATTTTCCATTATAAACCTTCCATTATCATCCATTTATGGAAAACCCCTTCTATTAAGTGGCCTCTGAGAAAAGCCTGAAAATCCGAGCTTAGTGGCGCCTCGCCAGTCGGGATGACAAGCCATCCATTTCCTAATTCTACCAAAAGTTCCTATTCATAAATTATATATAAACTGTATCTATATATACTGTACTTATTATTTTATGAATAAACGTATATGCGCATATCCATTTTATATATAATGTACATTATTTTGTATATTTTAATATATTGTATTTAAAATAAATATACATACGAGTCGCAAACTACCTGACCAAACAAGATTCATCATGACATGTACCACTTGTTTTTTATATACCAACAAATCACAATCCATTATATTGTCCATTACAGGATCCATTACATTATCCAATATATGATCCCTTCCCCTCTGATAATCAAACGAAGCAATGGACAATTGCGAAGTTATAAACTATGTTTACAGTTTTTGTTAACCTCCATTTATTTGGGGTTTGATTACCGGAGGGTATAGATTTTCCACTATATACCATCTATATCTATCTCTGGTTGCTACAATTATTGTACTGTATTTGTTCCCAAAACAAAGCTCGTATGTATATTAAACATATCTTGTCCATTTTATGATTGCTACTCGTACATTCATATCATTTTTGGGCAGACACTCCATTAAAATCCATTGTATATGCATTATATGTCCATTGTATCTCCATATATGGCTGATACATTCATCTGGGTAAATTTCATCACGACCTCACTGTTCTCCCTTACTATGATCATGGGAATTGGATTCGGGGAATCACCCCCAAGATAGCCGAACTTTTCAGGTTCGCGAACTATTATAATTTATCCAGATTCATGACATTGATTTTCCCAAAGAAGCCCCAAATATTGTTGGTGAAATCCCTCAGGGTGCACAGATCAGTTACAAGTTGCTGCTCATGAAATAACTCGATGTGACCCCCAGCGTGGTAAAGCCAAGATTTTTAACCTTCCCAGCAGCCATCCAGTGGTGTCCCCTAAATCTTATTGTTAGGGGGTATAGTTGGATGATGTTGGATGTGCATCCCACTTAGTAAGTGGTTTAAAATCCAATATATAACCCGCATAATCCCACATGTATGCGGGGATATTCCATATATATAACTGGTGGTATAGCCCATTTACTAAGTGGGATGCACCCCCAAGTACCCAATACAAAAACCAAATCAGGGATGGTTTAAAGTTTAAAGCCTTGGCTTGACCTCATTATTGGAGCTATGTTTACTAAGTTAGCTAACAATCTCACAACTTCGTAAACATAATCGTCAGATAATTGATGTTTATTAGCTAATTTTCGATATAGCTTCAATCCTCATACTTGATTTTTAAAATAACCATTAATCCTCATTTTGCCATATTTGGCCATATGGGGATGGGTCAAAACCTATTATCATCAATTTTAGTGGGATGAACATCCAGCTATGACTTAGGCATCACCAGTGTCCCGGGCTTTTGACCCATAGCTATATGTTGGTTAGCTTCATTAAACATTGTTTCTCGCTTATTAATCAATGGATTGGTTTGATTGGTTTCAGGGAAAATTTAAGAACCCCATAATCTGGTTAATCTATGGTTAATCTATGGTTAACCTATGGTTAATCTATGGTTAATCTATGGTTAATCTATGGTTAATCATGGGAAAATCTATGGTTTCCGGTTAAGATTTTCCCTAAAAACGATTCCCCTGGGGCAGCACAAAAAAAAGCCCAGCCACCAGGTGAAGTGACGGTCGGCATCAAGGAAGTGGCTATCCGCTTGGGCGGCCGCACAGTGCTGCAAGACGTCGGGGTCTCCCCGGGGAGACCGACGTGGACGACGGATGGTGGATGGTGAAGGGTTTTATGGTTGGGGGATAACCATAATTAATATGCACTGAAAATGTATACATATATATAATCATATATATATATGCAATATATATATATATATATGCACAATATATATATATATATATATGATATATATATATGCAATATATATATATATATGTAATATATATATATATATATATATACATATGCAATATATATATATGCAATATATATATATATATGTTTGCAATGTTTATATATGTATATATATATATATATGCAATGTATATAAATATATATATACATATATATATGTATATATATATATATATATTTCTGGGTAAATTATAACGACCTCACTGCGACCTCACTGGAATCATAGTTAATAAGGGAAATCATCCCCAAATGGCCTTAATTCAGGTTAGTGAAATATTATAATTTACCCAGATATATATCGCTAGGGGGCTGACGTTTGCCCGAAATCCACGGAATTCCATGCGGGACTGCAAACTGCTGTGTTGTTTCCGCGCGTGTTTTTCGCACACTGCGAGCAAAGTATTGATATTACCTGCGTCTCATGGCATTTCTGCGCTTACCTAAGACGGTGCCAAAATCACTTTTTGAAGGTATCTCAAGGATATCCTCCGTAATTTGCAGTGTTGCGAGCCGCTAACTGAGACCTCAACAAACTGCAAGCCTTTGAAAGAATACTAAAATAACCTAACCCTAAATAAACCCTAAACAAACCCCAAACCAACCCTAAATCAACCATAAATAACCCTAAATAGACCCTAAAACAACCGTGAGCAAACCCGAAAACAACCCTAAATAATACGAAATTTAACTAAACAAACCCTAATGAAAATCTAAACCAGCCCTAAGCAAACCCTAAAACAATCTGAAACATATCCTAAGCAAATTACAACGTAACTAAACCCAACGTCCGCCCCGGAGGGATGTATATATATATATATTATGTATTTATTATTTTATTTATTTTTTTTATTATTATAGTTATTATTATATATTATTTTTTTATATGTGTATGTTTGTGGAATATTAATATAGGTTCACTAAGCTCCAACAATGGATAACACCACAAGATAAGGGTCTTTAAGATCTGACTTACATATTACTAAGTAGGGTATCTATATATATATATATATGTTTTATGTCTGTATATATAGTATAGAGAGAGAGAGAGTGTGTGTGTGTGTGTGTGAGGGGTGCAGTATTGAGTACTATTCCCCCATGTACCATGTTTGATGAGCTAGGGTATACAGTGTATACACAGGGAATTTTCCAAGTCAGTTTATTGGAAAATCGGAATATCTTGGGAATTATAAATCAATGGTTAATGGGATATCCAGTATACAATATACCGACTAAAATGATAAAACCATAAAAACACAATGGGAAAAACAACAACCACAAAAACACGTGTTTACATACCAGGTAAACTGTTATACATTGGTCTACACATGGTCGGATTTTCCCTCATCTCTTACTTTCCTGGAGCATATGTTGTTGTTTTGGTTATGTTTATGTATTGTTGTTGATTCCTGGTTGTGTTGACATCCCGAAAATGGCACTGAACTTGAGTCCGACCCAGGAGTAAACCGGATATCCAGAGAAATTGATAAGGTTTTGTTAAAATACCATCCAAAATCCAATAAACAAAGTCTACTTTACAAAATATCAACATCCATGAACAAATAATCAAAGTTAGGATCTCGCGATCTCGATCCTGCGTCTTTTTGGTGGCAAAAAAGCAGGACTTGAAAAGGCTGTTCTGTCCGTCAAAAGTTGTCAAACCCTGGATTAATAAGCCCCAAACGGCTGTTTGATTGGGAGGGTACCATTTAAGTATTAGATGAAATGACTATTGGAGGAGTACCCCCCTAATTGTTAAACCATGGTTTATTAATCTGGGGTTGACATTAAGATTGATATACTGTAAGAATGTCTATAGCCATTCTGAGTCAATGGATCCCACACATGTGGGATGGATGACCATACTCCTTATATTTAACCTTAATATAACAACTGTCCATGGCACATCTGATATTTCCATCACATCCCCACCACACCGCCACCAAATTCTTGATCATTTTTGCCGATTCTAGCTGTTCGCGAAACAAAAACGAATGGTATACCCCATGAATATTCTATGAATTCCTTATTCTCAATGGGTTTTTCATGGTCAATCATGTTAAATCCCCATTTCCCCAGGTAAATTCCAAGTAAATTCTTAGATCAACGTGTTCTCAAGCTACCAAGTGTTTCTACTGAAGACTCCATTTTTTCATATTCTTCCCCAGTTGAACACCAATTTCTCCCCCATGGACTTGAGGCCTCTTGGACTGTAAAGACGGGTGAACGCCTAGCGCTGGTGGGGGCCAATGGTCCCTCGGCCGAGGGGCTGGGGGATTCATGATTGAAATGCAGTTATTGATGGGAACATGATCAAACTCAATGGCTTAGTTCACCAGTAAATCATGAACTGCTGTTTAAATTGATGGTGAAATCTCTGTTACATGGCTTAGTTCAATGGCTTAGTTCACCAGTAAGTAGATGGAATTGATAGGATCTAACTAGAAGCAGATAGTTGGGTTGTACATCTTGTAACATCTTGTAACTGGGATCGAATTGAATACCCTCCAATTGAGATGGGAATGCTGGTGCCGTAAACCGTCGATGTAGGAGGGTGTTTAGTCTATATATTTATATATACTTATACAATCCATGTTTGATGAAAATGGGAATGGTTTAAAGCGTGTTTATTATATATTATAATATAATATAATATAATATAATATGGTGTTATATTGTAATATATTATATTATTTTATGTTATGTTATATTATATTATATTATATTATATTAATTATATTAATTATATTATATTTTATTTTATTACATTATATTATGTTATATTGAATTATACGATATTAAATTATATTATATTGCAGTATTATATTATATTATAAAATGTCTGGGTTTCAGGTGGTTGTATGTATGCCAACGTATGATAAGAATGTTTTTGGTGCTCTTCCAGGTCTAGAATCACAACCCTGTTTTTTAACCAACCAGGAGAACCAATCCATCTTTGCAGTTTTAGAAACTGCTAATCTCAACGGGACGAAAGAATCCAATGCTTTTTTTGAGCGTTGGGACCAATGGTTTTTCGATTGCGGTCTGACTTGGATCTCCTGTGGCCCAGATTTGTGGTATACGATGCTGCAGTCAATTTCCACTGCCTATGGAAGGAATTTCCACTGCCTATGGAAAAGGCATTTTATAGAGATATATGGTGCCATAGTGGAGCAGCGCTTCAAAGAAAACACCTAGATTGGAGCAGCATTTTATAGAGGATTGCTGGGTTGTTGCACGATGTCGCCCTGCCTGTCTTTGCACACGCATCACCTGCGGAGAAGCATTTCATAGAGATGACGGAAAGGTCATTTCATAGAGGGTTCCCACTGTCTGTCTGTATGTTGTCTGACGGAGGACAGTATCATTTTACCAAGGACACCACACAGTACATCTGCACATCAAAAAAACTCAGCTACACGCGTTGGTGGGTACACCGGTGCACAATTTTTGTCTGTCCCATCACTACTGGGTCACACCTTTATTGGTGCTCATTTCTCCTGCTGGGTGAATTAGTTGACGTTTAATTTGCTTAACTATGGCTAACTACCGTATGGTTTATGGTAGATTCATGTAGATTCATGATACATCTACAAGTAGTTCCTATGCTTTATAAACCAAGTTATAACTGGAGCGGCACCATTTCCTCAGGATTTCCTCGTTCCACCGTTCCGGCGGCGGCAGGTTGTGGCAAGACGACCCAGCTACGTGTCTTGCTGGACCAGTTGACCCCTGACAACGGAAGCGTCGTGCGCAGCCGCGTGTCTGAATGATACAAAACCTGGCGGGGTGGCACCATGGGAAGTGGAAAGCAACCTTGCTTAGATGGGCCATGGGATGAGTTGCAATGATTAGCTAGCTGGTTAGTAACTGGGGTTATAACCCAATTATAATCCATTTACAAACTAGTCAACTAACTCCATGGCCCTTCTAAGTAGTTGATTGGGTTAAGAGATGATTCTATCCGTCTTTTCTCAGGGTACATAGTCCCTTCCCCCTAGGAATAAACACCCCACAGAAAACCATGGCTTAGTATTCAAAAAAAGATGCGATGGGGATGATCAATATGAACGAGGGATGGGATCAGTTCAGAACACTGTACTATAAGCTTGTAGAACCATCAGTGCCCGTAGATTCTCCCAACCTCAGAAAACAATCAGCTGCAAAAATGATGGTAAATCAGAAACAAACATGGGGATTTAATCGAGCAACATGATCCAGCATGTGGTAGTTCAGAAGGTTAACTGCTGGGTTTCTGGATGTTTATGGTAGACATATCTAAATTCAATGGGCTTATAGACCAACAGCCACACAACTGGGGTGTACCACCATGCTCATCTCATGGGTGAATTCTGCATGATCTGTATTGATATTTAGGTCATTGGCTTGGCCTCTTGGCTACCCAAAAGTGAGACGCTTCATACTTACCCTCTGGTTATGACTAACATAGCCATGCAAAATGGCCCATTTATAGATGGTTTACCTATTAAAAATGGTGATTTTTCCATGGTTATGTGGCAAATCACCAGATGGTAAAACAGCAAAATTGCCAACAACTATGGTCCCGTGTTTCTTTCTACTCACACCCATGTAAGATTTGCAAGCCAAATTTGCTCCAACCCACTATATAAAGGTAAATTACAGATGTAGCCAGCAATTTGAAAGGTTTGATCATGTTTGGTCATGTTTCTTGACGACATGCACAACTGGTGCCCTTGGCGTTACAAACTGATCTGTACTCAGTTCGTGATCCTCAAGTTTATTGGTTGGCTGAGGGCGGATTTCCATACAGTATTGGATTGGAACTGGTTATAGATATATAGTTTTAAAATGTACTTAAGTTGGTTATTTAACAGTATGGAAACCATGGCCCATTTGTAGACTAAACTCTAAACCACGGTGATTTCCCAGTTCGCGTTGCGCGTTGAATGTCACCAGGCCGGGTAAACCCGCGATGATTCGCCACAAAAATTGACAAGCAGCCCCGCATCGCCACGCTACCGGAAGTCGGAAATTTTCGCATCGCATCAGATTGTAGCACCTTCCAGAGAAAAACACAAAAACATGATAGAAAAATCAACCCTAACCAAAGTCTTGTAACTTAGTTAACTTAGCTGTCTATTTTTCGGTGGGGGGTGGTACTAGAAATATGTTGTATTTCTTTTTGGCTGGGCATTGTATTTCTATACATATTGTATGGACCATCATGAAGCATCATCAACTACCCTTTTCCAGTTGGTTTACTTAGTTTATCGTGGTGAAACCGTATTTCTATGATAGCTTAAATGGTTAAATCACATTTTTTGGCTGAAAATCCAGTCATTCTCCGATACTAAACCATTCCTACAAGGTATTCCTAACAAGGTGGTGCCCCAGTTTGTTAGCTAAGTTTGTAGCTGATATCTTGTGTTCATGATAGACATATCGAGCTAGTTAATGAGGTGAAACTAAACCAAGGTTGACATCACTGGAAAAACAAACACCATAAATTGCAGTTGCTTAAACAAGTCTGAATAAATAGCTCAAACAAACCAGCAGCTTGGCAAATTCCAAGCAGCTTATCCAACCGGAAGCTGAGGCCCTGCCAATGCGAAGATTGCTATCTTGGAGCTGCTGGGCTGATACGGAAAGACGTTTCTGCTATTGGAATAACTTGAAACCCATAATAACAAGCTGGGGTTTCTGGATGTTTCTGGTAGATATATATTTTGAGTTGGGTGAACATAACAAACTTAGAAGAACTCTTTTGAGAAGGTAAATTCAACGCAACCAAAATTTAAGAATTGACAATTAGAGATGAGCAACAGAGCAACACAACAGGAATTCACCACAATGGTTTTATCATTTCTGTTCATAAGTAATAGAGATGGTGCATTCGCAACCATTTTTTTCTACCAGAAACCATGGTTCTGTTCATCATCTTTATGTAAACACCGTGTCGGTGTTTCGATTGCAACCAGACTACGAGCGGAACACGCGGAATAAGAAAGCCAAATAGATAGCAACATGATGGTTCATGATGGTTAACTAATTTCTGGTTGGTGGTTTGAAACACGTTTTTTTTGGACTTTCCATTCAGTTGGGGATGTCATCATCCCAACTGACGAACTCCATCATTTTTCAGAGGGATTGAAACCACCAACCAGATATAGTCAACCCTCATGCTCCATGTATTGTAGCTAGCCTATAATTTTCCAGAGGACCGCTGCGAGGTGGCTAATATTGTTCCCTCCAGGTTGAAGGTCTTTTTTCTCTGAACCCAAAACTGAAACGTCAAGAAATTCCCTGATGTTCCAAATGGCAGCTGTTTATGTTGGGACATGTGGGATGAATGTAACATTTCGTAGTATAGTACCCTATACGTAAACGTAACTAATCCCCTATGATAAGAACACGACTGTTGGGCACAGCCATATGTCACCAGCCAAAACCCGCTGAGGCAAAGCTTTGTGGATGACCTCAACTTGGAACATACCTTGAGACTTGCAGACATGTTTGATGTATCCCAGTGAGGATGGTCCCATGTGATTTGTTATATGATGTTATAATTTATATATATAGTATTATATAGTTATTAATAGTTATAGAATATACTTATTCATCGTATATACCATAATATATATAATTATATACTATGTAATATATACTATTGTATGTATATTTAGTTATTCATAGTTCCATGTTTCAGTGTTTAAGAGACCCACTAGGTATTACGTATATATGTTTCATCAAATCGACTAGTGAACGCGCGGTGAATGTTTGTGAACTAGCCCATTGAAGATGTTGTTTCGCAGGGTAGCTAAAAAAGTTGGCTATGGTTGGTTGCAGGTCAAGATTAAGACCACCCCCCAAGGTTTACATGAACATCTGAGAACGAAAAGGAAGTAGTTACCTGAACCACAATCCTTTAGAGTAGTTTGGGATAGTTTGGGATGCCACAGTCCAATTCAGAGGTGTGGTTTGAAGAAATCGTGTACAGATGTTGAAGCACATGCTACTGGATTATCCCACACTTGTGGATGAATTTCCTATTTCACACTTTCAGCTTCCATTCGCATGAGCCAGAGGATGCATAGAGTGTCCACAAAAAAGGATCTGTGTATAGCGTATAGCACCCCCCTCAAAAACAAAGTAACATCCCACCAAAATAGTGATAGAAATAGAATATAGTAGAACGATGTAGAACGTGATAGATGACCTTTCTATGATTTGGCGGGTGACTATAATCAACTGAAAGCAATTGATACTTCTCAACAGCCAATTTCTTTTGACAAATGCCTCCGTCATGATCCTACTTGGGGGGTCCCAGCTGACCCAAGTGCTCCTTATCTCGGTGTGTCAATGGGGTCCAAATGGCCATGTCAATGAGGATAACGATGATCAACCATGGGAAGAGGGGACTACACTTGGTAGCCGTCCTGTCTCGCAAGGAGCTGGTTGAGAACTTAACTAAAAATCATCAAAACATATTAAAACAGAACTCTGACCCAAAACTAGTGGATGGTTTTCAATACATTTGCAAACCTGGCATGACCCCAACAGGATCTCACCTGGACACGACAATACTCCGTCTAGAGCCTTTTCCTTTTCCAACTTGGCACGTAACCGACGTTACTGTATCCAAGGAAGGAAGAGCTGTTGTCAGCCCTGCCAGAGCAGAAGGCGGGGAAACGTGCTACAACTGATGTAAAATGGGCAAAAACAGATGTGGAAAACCCAATGTCTTCCGGATCGGAACATGATCTACAATTATAATGCTGGTTGGTGATTTCAAACATGTTTTATTTTCCATGATATATGGGATAATCATCCCAACTGACTAATATTTTTTCAGAGGGTTGAAACCACCAACCAGAATGGGTTTTCATGGGTTTTCCACATCTAAACGTTTGCGGGAGGCTACTCCCACAGACTTTGATCACGTCATAAAGCAAAACATCTTTGAATAGCATTCATCGACCTTGACCCATGGGGAAGCCAGAACCTGAATTACATGGATTTCTTTACGCCATGATATATATATATATATTCATATGTTTTCATATATACAATAATAATATATACATCTAATATAATATAATACATAATATATAATAATATATATATACATATTTATATATATATTAAAAAAATATGTATATATATATATTTACATACATAGACATATATAACATATACATATATATATATTATTTTTTGTTATTATGTTTTTATTATTATATGTAATATATATATATATATATATCATAATATATGCAATATATCATTTAATAAAATAATTATTGTATTATATATTTATATATGTATCATATGATTTATATATATATTACAATACATATAAACATACTAAAATATACATTCATATTATATATATATATATATACTATATACATATAGGGTCAAGGCTGGGGGGTCCCCGGAGCTTCCAGGAACCCTCAGTCTTGTCATGTACTATAAACGTCGTTATGGTATAGAGATGGGGGGTGGGGCGGGTGGGGGGTGGGGTAATAACGTCATGTGGAGTGCGTTGGATTGAGACTTGTTGAAACCTTGAGGATGTTGCTTCGTTGAAGCTTTTGTTACGTTGCCAGTATCGTTGGAACTTAGATGAAGCCAGCTTGAATTTGTTGCAGCGCTTGGCAAAAAAAAAAGAAATCCTGTTGTTAAAGAACAACAGAATTCTTTCCTCCTCACAGGAGGAGGAGAAACGTGGCGGAAAGTCTGGTCGCGGTAGGTAAGAAACAGCTCAGGAGATTAGGTCAGTTGGGAGGAGCCAAAGACCGCTTGGGACATAGACATATTTTAGCTGCCTATTATATTCATAACAAACCAGGTCTTGACTCTGTCCTCCACGCACTGCGACTGCACCGTGAGAAGACCAATGGTGCTCTCGCTCCAAGCAACTGTTTCAAAAAGCCTTTGTGGAGGTGAAGGTGAAAAAGGTGTGATGTCCATTTCGCCCATGGTTCTCCAGTGAATTATGACATTTTCTAGTTGTCAACCAAAGGACCAAAAATGTATGACACCGCAATTCCAATGGTTTTGATGTTGCACACATATTTGGCTATCCATGGAAGATGTAAATTTATCATTTTTCTGCGCGGACAAACGTCAAATTTATCCGCGCCGACATTGCAACTTGTTCTGATCGAACCATTTGAGAGAGGAGCATAAAACACTGTAAAACACAGTGTAAAATCAACATTTTCCATATCCATACAAATAAAATGCAATTTGGCTTCCGGGGAACCCCCAGCCTTTACCCTACATGTATATATATATATACATATATCTACATACATATATCATAATCTAATATATGTATAATATAATGATACTATTTGTAAACCATTATATATTATATATTCAAATATAAAGTATAATATATATAATTTAAGATATAATAGAATATGATATCATATGGTATATAATAAAATATTATATATATATATATATATGTTTATTGAACTATCTATCTATCTATCTATCTATCTATCTATCTATCTATCTATCTATCTATCTATCTATCTATCTATCTATCTATCTATCTATCTATCTATCTATCAATCTTTATATATATATTATATAATTAAACTAATAATATATATTGGTATATTTATATATATATATATGCATTTGTTTCATAACATATGTATATATTATGTACCTATATATACACTGGTAGGACAAAAGTTGCGCTTGTTGAGCTTCCCACAGTGAACATGGTTGGTTTCTTCTTCTGCACACCCTTTCCCCGGTAGAATCCTAGCATGGAGCTTTGCCGTACCCCGGTCGCATTTCCACCCTCCAAAAGCGTTAAAATCTTATATATTTAAAAGAGGGTGATAATTGACCGTCCCACACCTGCCACACAAAACGGACTTGAAAATGTGATCCGTGGTTGACCGAAATGGGTGTTTTGTAAAGCTTGCAAGAAGCATAAACTTTGTTCCTCCTGAAGGGTACAAAAATGTGCCGTGACGCACTGGTAGGACAAAAGTTGCGCTTGTTGAGCTTCCCACAGTGAACATGGTTGGTTTCTTCTTCTGCACACCCTTTCCCCGGTAGAATCCTAGCATGGAGCTTTGCCGTACCCCGGTCGCATTTCCACCCTCCAAAAGCGTTAAAATCTTATATATTTAAAAGAGGGTGATAATTGACCGTCCCACACCTGCCACACAAAACGGACTTGAAAATGTGATCCGTGGTTGACCGAAATGGGTGTTTTGTAAAGCTTTCAAGAAGCATAAACTTTGTTCCTCCTGAAGGGTACAAAAAGCTTATTTAGTGGGAATTGCCAAGTCATTTGCTGATTTTTGCACGTGCTTCAGCTTGGCCATTACTCCACATAACATGTCTGTCTCCATCCTCTTTGTCTGCACTGCTACACATGTGCCGTGACGCAGGGTACAAAAAGCTTATTTAGTGGGAATTGCCAAGTCATTTGCTGATTTTTGCACCTGCTTCAGCTTGGCCATTACTCCACCTAACATGTCTGTCTCCATCTTCTTTGTCTGCACTGCTACACATGTGCCGTGACCCAGGGTACAAAAAGCTTATTTAGTGGGAATTGCCAAGTTATTTGCTGATTTTTGCACCTGCTTCAGCTAG